ATTTCAGCATTTCAGTGAACCAGTGACCACCTTCCCAAAATTGTGCAATGACGTCAGACGGTGTCAAAGAATACCCAGTTTTGACTGCAGCCATGTAACACTATTACAGCAGGGTCAAGGTGACCTGTATGTCATCGATACTTGGGCAGACATGTTGTCTTCAGCAACTTATGCCTGCTGTAAGAGGCGACTGGTGGTGATCACTCTCGCTGACTTGGTTGATGCTTGCCATCGTATTCCAGTTGCATAGGTCGTACTTCCGGCTTACTCTGGGCTGGTGTAGCTACAGGAAACTCTGTGGTTACAAGGTACTTGTTCCAGTCCGACATACCCTCATGAAAACCAGCAATCCGTACTTCCGGCTTACTCTGGTCTGGTGTAGCTACAGGAAACTCTCTGTGGTTACAAGGTACTTGTTCCAGTCCGACATACCCACATGAAAACCAGCAATGCGTACTTCCGGCTTACTACCTTCTGGTGTACATTCAGGAAACTTTCTGTGGTTACAAGGTACTTGTTCCAGTCCGACATACCCACATGAAAACCAGCAATGCGTACTTCCGGCTTACTATCTTCTGGTGTACATTCAGGAAACTTTCTGTGGTTACAAGGTACTTGTTCCAGTCCGACATACCCACATGAAAACCAGCAATCCGTACTTCCGGCTTACTACCTTCCGGTGTACCTGCAGTAAACTCTCTATGGTACTTATTCTAGTCGGACATACCCATGCACTTGTAAACTAAAAATTCATACATGGTCCCTACTGTCAAACTCCATAGGTAAGACAAGCATGAGGTAATGAGGGCCTTTTCATTCCCCGGATTTCCCACTTTGAGTCCGACCAAGGTACAAAGGTTCCATCACCTCCTTCACATATCCAGGTGGACCCAGGAAACCACTGACGTCACAGTCATATAAACATTCCACACGCTGGTAACCGGTCTTGAAACCATATCACCATGCATGACTCAATCGTGTGTAAATTCCACACCCCAACATCCGGGTTACTAACAAGACAATATCATCTCGGCATGACATGACCATGTGCTAAGGCCACGCCCTTGTTACAAAGTCATGTGACAATTTCCCACCCATGTGACACATGCCCCTCACATGATAAGTCTATTTTTAGTACCCACGTTATAAGTACAGGAGAACCACAAGATATTCGCCTAATGCTTGAACACGTCAACAATTAGCCCTGTTGGCTGGCGGCCACAGCTTCTAGATGCAGGGCGGAACACAACCCTTAAAGCTTCCGTTGTAAATAGACATTAAGACTACGTGACCAAACACGTAAATAAAGTAACACAAACTGATACATAGTACCTCATCATTAGCCGTCGTTCATATTCTGTCATTAGTGTTGTATATATGCAAAAAGTAGTTGTAACACCAGCCCTATTGCATTTCTGATTACGTCATTTACACGTCATCTGCACGAGGATGATGACATCATGTATGGATGAGTTAGCCATCTTGGATTAAACACGAAGGTTGACACCAACTGTACACCAAGACACAACGACGTTGTGTCTTGGTGTACGTGGTGTAAGGAACAACCCCACACTGAGTACATTACAATTAGTACAATTAGTATATAGAATTATTTGTTGAAAAGTACCATCAGGGACATAGTTTCTTTTGTTTGTGTGCGTGCGTACGCACATGCGGTGTGTGTGTGTGCGCGTGCGTGTGCGTGCGTGTGTGTGCGCGCCAACACATGAGAAAGGTTAAGACGGTGACATACCAAGAAGGATCTCAACCACAACCAGTGTCTCCTGGAAGGTCAGGGGAAACGTACAACTCTGAAGGAACAGTTGTAAGATTTATGCATAATGAGTGAGCTAGTCTTATTTTTCGCCGCTATGAAAAGGAATCCAGTCTCTGTACTTCCTTACTGACCGATAACTGAAAACAGAATTTAATAATCCGATTACCTCTTTCTCTTGTCCCCATGAAAAGTAGTTCCCTTATCTGAGCTGCAACCAGATTTATAAGGTTACCTTTAACGGTGGGTGGGCTGTTCGCCGATAACCAGTGAAGAGCATTTTAGCTTTGAAATCAGCAACAACGAGTCAAGTAGAGATTTGGTAAAATATAAACCATTTGGTTTTGCTGGCTTAAAATTATTGAACAAGGACGAAACTGAGAAGTTCGAATAGGGGCAGAAGATAAAATCGGGCATAAATTGACAAAAGCCATAAAGGCTTTCTTCCACATGAACGATTCTAAAGAGGGGGGAAATGCCGTAACTACTGAAGGGGAGTTAGTGTGAAAAAAACTCAACTGAAAGCAATGCCTGAACTAATAGGTTGGGGTATAAAGGGGGGAACGATGACGTGGGTCAACCACGCACACACACTAGGGGCGCGCAGATTCCAGAGCGGCTCTTCCGTTTAATGTCTTCACCCGCAAAAGTTAAAACATTCCATTCAGTTACACATTAAGGTTAGTGTATACCCTCACAAGTGAGGGTATGCCAGTAAGGGCTTATTATATAGCCTTATACATAAAACAACAACAACATTCCGTCGCTAGACCAATAATCAGGCTAAAACAAGAATATCTGGATATGGCCCAAATATACATGCGTGCACTTTCTACATTGGCCAGTAGCTCTTTAACAATTCCCGGCTGCCTGGAAATCATGGTTTATCTGCGCCAAACTCTACAAATACCCCTAAACGCTCAAATGGACATTAGTTTCAAAATGATGCGCGTGTTGCAAGAATATACCTGGTGACAATGAGACAGGCCTAAAACGGTTTTTTTTCATTATTTACTGTTGATTCTGTGGATGTGGGACAGGTGATAAATCTGTGTAGAGGTTTAGCCTCATCTAGAATATATTATCTCAACCACAAACAAAACCTGAACATGTGATGATATCAAACCTTTATACATGCCTAATGTAAACACTACACGCGGTCACATCCGATCAACGAATATTCCACACGGCCCTGCCAAGTAGCGCCACCAGGCACGGAGCAGTACTAACACGGAAATGCACGGGGTATATCTTACATTTCATCAGACAAGGAATGTATGTCGTTCGGAATTACGTCAGCTCGCAGCAGCAATTACAAGCTACCACGGAAGATCACAATGTTAAGTACTTTCATCACGGTCTAGTATCGTTGCAGGTCATGCGTGCGTAATGTGCGTACCCATACACATTGATGCGTAAAATACGCATGTTCCTATTACAGTATTTCGTGAATGCAACGCGACAGTAAACCTTATAGCTGCAATACTGCCTTTTTGAAAACATTGAGATGCCGAATTTGCGTTAATCGGTATTTCAGCCAGGTAGCGTACGGGTACTTTAATAATTACAACGAATGAGGGTTTCGAACCCACGAATAGAATTTTTTAAGCTGAAACAATAATAATATGAACATTTTCTACGTGCAGGCCGACACTCCAACTAAAGATTTATGAAACTAATTATAAAAACACCCATATGTTATGTCTACGTGTTCAGACAAGCAATCATATTGAATCCATAGACATACACAAACTGAGGCTAAGGGCGTCGGAAGGAAGCGTGAAGTACGTGTAAAAGAAATCTGGAAGTTCGGGGGTGGTTGCTACCCTTAATGCCCCCAGTACAAATACGATGTTAATGCGGCCACCACTTGACCTTACTTCCGTCCTAAGCAAAATTCGCACGGCTCCGATGATTGCAAAAAATGCAGTCAAACCTGGAGTCCCAACAGCTAAACAAGGCCAAAGGTTCCCAAGTCTGCCTTAACTCGGTCAAGGTGTTGCAGTCAAATTTCCTGGAAGAGAGAGATCAGTGGCCACGTGGAGGGGGCGTGTCCCAGTGTGTTCTAAAGAGTATCTTTTTCTGTTAAGAGCGTGTACAACAAATAACCGCAGTAGAAAAGTAACAGTATTCCCATCCAGTTGTGAATTGCACGAGCAGCAGCATACCACCATGTAATGTTAAAGTTCAGCTATTTTTTGATAATTCAAATACCGTTTTCCGATGATTCAGCAAACATGAATGGCCTCCAACTAGGCGCTTAAATGCTACACACGTATAAATTGATGTAAAGCTATTTCAGCAATGTGCCAGCACTGAACGTGCTTTCAGTTAGCGAACCTCAACGACTTATGGGAATAAAAGCGCCAAGAGTTGTCTCCCATCATTCCAGTGACCTCAAGGGCAGTACGATGACATAATACTTCTCATAAAACATGATTTTAGTTATATTATTCTGGAATAAGACACTGCAACTGTCTGTAGTGTTGTGTTGGCCAGGTGGTGTTGGCCTATGCTTATTCGTTTCAATCCAGCAGTTGCCTCCATTAAGTTTCTAGGTTTGTCAGTAAGTTTGATGGTTTCATCAAGTGATAAGGGACAGTTCATAATAATTATGGCTTGTGTGTGTGTGTGTGTGTGTGTGTGTGTGTGTGTGTGTGTGAGTGTGAGAGAGAGAGAGAGAGAGAGAGAGGTGGTGATGATTTTAAGTGAGTGAGTTTAGTTCTACACCGCACTCAGCAATATTTCAGCTATATGGCGGCGGTCTGTAAATAATCGAGTCTGGACCAGACAATCCAGTGATCAACAGCATGAGCATCGATGGTGGTGGTGGTGGTGGTGGTGGGTTTACCTATTTTGTTCTGGAGGTAGGGGGGTCAGCCATTTTATACATTAAAATATATATAAATTTTGCTTAAAAATTATGGGAAAGGGGAAGGGGTGTAATTAATTTTGTACATGACATGCAAGGGGATCACTTACTTTGTACATAAATTTTAGGGGGGGGGAAGGAGGAGGTCATTCACATTGTACATGCTTCTCCATAAAAATCATCATCACCGGCCCCCTAGCCATAAATTATGAACGTTCCCTAAATGTCTAAGACCTGCATTGCTCCTCCTCCCTCCCTCATCAAACTAACTAACTAATCATGATGTGTTCTTAAACTCGCGCACCAATCACTAATCACTTTCGTTCACACAGGAATGACAAACAAACACAAATATCTAATAGCACCAAGTATTCCTTTTATTCATTGTTTATACATCTGTGTGGAAATACACCCCACATCCTGTCAATCACTGTCTAGAGAGTCCACACATCCGACAAGGAGTAACACCTTCATATATTCAGTTTCAATTGATAACATGTGTTTGTGGATGTAAAAATATAATCTATTTGATAAATAACAGATGTTTTTCCTTACGTCCCAGGTATACAATATGTATGTAACATGAAACTGCACACTGATCTACAACATACAAGGAATACAACAGAACCTAGACTGTTGAAGACAGCTGAACCCATAGATTTCACTGTCTTTATTCTTCAAAGCAATGTTTTGGTACAGGTGTTAGTAGCTTAAGGTGTAACCAGTACCAGTATCAAGCAAGTGTCACACACAATGAATATGTTTATTAAGCAAAGCTTGTGCCCAGCTAATATTTTATCAAGCAAATCTCGTACCAAGCTAAGAATTTTATCAAGCAAATCTTGTACCCGGTTAATATCTATTTCAAGCAAAGCTTGTACCCAGTTAATATTATTATCAAGTACGTCTCCTATATAGATAATCCCATTATAAAGCAAGTCTTGTATAGAGCTGATATCTGTATCAGGCAAATCTCATGCCCAGATAATTCCTTTATCCAGGAAGTCTCATACCCAGCTAATATGTTTATCCAGCAAGTGATGTACTCAGCAAATATATCCAGCAAGTGATGTACTCAGCTAATATATCCAGCAAGTGATGTACCCAGCTAATATATCCAGCAAGTGATGTACCCAGCTAATATATTCAGCAAGAGATGTACCCTGCTAATATATTCAGCAAGAGATGTACCCTGCTAATATATTCAGCAAGTGATGTACCCTGCTAATATATTCAGCAAGAGATGTACCCAGCCACTTTCAGAACAAGTGATCAAGAACTGGACCTGTTCCACCTTGTTGATCACTTGTTTGATGAAGAGATAATCATGTGTACCGAAACCATTGCATGGAAAGAATAGAGAAGTTGAAATCTGTCAGTCAAGCATGTAACAGTTTCTCAACGCCACGTTGACCCAGAACAACCATCAGTCACACAGCAGTTGACCATGCCTGTCTTCATAGGTTCCATATTATAAGTACCTTATACAACAGATGGAACTGACAGACTATGTAAATGAAAGGACTAGACAAATTCCTCTGAAAACATTGCAACTCCACCATTACCACTCTCAAGACTTCCAAACTACAAAACTACTATTAATTGAGACCACAAAGCCACTATAAATTAAATACCAGTACTGTTTTTATAGACTACATCTCGTTTTCTTGGCAAAACAAACAGATAATTCCTGATACAATTATGGCTCTTGTATGTGTCTTGTTTCATAAAGATACCTGAAAACAACTTAACTAAGGGAACAAGAAATTCGAACATATCTATTTGTCTTACCTTGATTCTTGGAAATGATAATGTTTTAAGTAAATGTTGGCTTATCATGGAGTCAATCGGTAGCGATGTTGTAAAGTGACATGGCATGTCACAAAGGTGGTCCAGGTTACCATATTATGCAATCATGATTTGTAGAGATCCACAGTTACATATCATTGAATGTTTGCAGAATATTGGAGAGTTCTATTTAAAACAAAAATATCTTCTTCTTACTCATGGCGTATATCTTCACCATGAAGTCCTAGCTAGAGCCAGCTCTTGACTTGACAAGGTTTTTTAGCACTATTAAAGCTGAAACTAAACAAGGGACAGCTACACTGGATTTACTCAATATGGAATAAAACCCAAGTCTTCAGACAAATTGGAACCACTCCACCCAACCTCCCGGAATAGACTTGTGAGTTGTCAAATCAAGAGTTAACTGTACCTGGAACAAGTTCATGTGAAACCCTTATCAACTAGACACTGAACTGGGGTCACCTAGGTTGATGAGTACTTATGCATTTAAAAGTTAAAAGTCCAAATGAACCAAATGGTTTAATGCAAATTCTCTCATAAATAAAACAACTATGTACATTCAAGTTACGTAAAGACCCTATGTACAAATTTTCAACACAAACTGATCATGTGAACTAAGCATGGAATATGTTTTGAGGTATCAAACTGCTTGTCACTTGGAAGTATCAAACTGCTTGATAGACAATTTTACACAACATATTCAAATAAGTATCAAACATTTTGGAACAAAGGAACTTTAGAAACACATTGAAGTGAATTTGATGCTTAAAGACTTGATAAAAAAAAATTAAACAACATAAAAAACTAACATGTAAAATTCAGAATTTTTTAAACTGAAAACATTTTTTGATAAAAAAATGTAACATTAATATGCTTGAGTAAAATTACACATTTTCCAAAGGTTTGACAACTTAAAGCATCCTCAACTGTAGATCCCAGTGTCTTACATTCATCATGTCAGTGATGTCAGTACCATAAACTATATTTTTGATTATACAATGATAAAATGAGACAAACCATATATAAAACAAAGAAAGGTAACATGTATATACAGGGGACAAAACTTGAAACACGAACATTATCACATATAACATTGTACCACTACAAAGTCATTATGGCTTTAGTAGCTCAACTCAACAAGGGTCAAAGTAAAACTACCCATGAACAATGAGATATCTGTGCCCAGCTAAGGCCAATAGGAAGTGGTTCATGAAGGCAAGCATTCTGCCTCCACCTGACCAATGTTATGCTGTCTTGATTGCACTTTCACAATTCAAAATCATAGTTACTGGAACTTAAACAGCATGCCAGTTTCGAATGTATGGCAGTGAATTGGATCCCGAGAAAATGTACAAACTGTCTCAACCACAGTAAGATAACGATATCTGAGCATAGAGGTCAGATTCTTCAACTGTGTCTGTCACATAAACATAGAATCATTAGTCACAGTTACCTCCCTTGTTATCATGAACTTCACAAAAGTTGATGATGAAAGTTTTGCCTGGTTTTCACTGCAGTGATCAAGCTTTCATTTTCTAGCTAAAGTACATCATTGTAATATGGATAAAAAACATCTTTCCACATAGCTGAAAAGCAGTTCAAAAGGCTGAAAAACAAGTTTTAAATGGGTGTAACTCTGTAACTTTGAGTATGTTTGATGTGAGGTTGAAAGAAAAACAACCAGCCTTGATTTCATCCTCTATATATTTCCATATATGATTGTTCCATGCAATTAACTATACTGTACCATTGTCTCAGAAGACAGCCCAAAACATCTGCCAATAAATAATCTACTTTGCACTGAAGTTCACAAATCTTCCCAGGAAACAGATAATTATCCTTGACTAGCCATGTAGGGATGCCTCCTTAATAAACTCTCAAGTGATACCAAAACATCTGGTCCTCAAACAAAGGCTTTGAAAAATGGCTAATTGTTTTGGCATGAAAGCATGTTCTACTTGGGTACTGAAGTTTGTACTGAATTCTCCTTTTGTTTGGTTTACAGCAGACAGGTAATGGCATTATGATATGTTTTACACGTTCAATATTAAAGAGGTGACTTTGAGGTTTCCTGCTACAGTATCTGAACCAAGGGACAAAAACACCTGAGTTGGGATTGATACAAAGGGGCCCTAGATTTACTGCTGTAAGTTCAAATATTGCATCTTAAGTGTTTTGATTCTACTTTCTCTAGCTAGTGTCCTGTATGATTGCATAGGAAGTCAAGGTAAATGCCAGACATACATCACATCTACATGTCCATGTAATGCAAGGGGTACATAGCAGTTAGGTATTAACTATCGCATTAAAAATATTAAAACCATTTTTATTTTTCTTATATAGAAATATGACATACTGAGGTATACTGACACATGTATGGCAGTGTGCTTCTGATAGTTGCACCACAACACAGTCATGAATCCATTAACTGATGCCCTGTCATCCATTATTAGCACAACTTATCTAGCAGTGACATGGGTACCCGGAAGTAATCACCATCCCTGGTAATGTATATCCATCTGGGTATGATACGAGTCATTACAAACACGGACTAGCATCTTTAGTAGCTTGGGCTCAGTTGATTACACCAGCTCAAACAGTGCATCGTCATCAATGTCAACATCACCATCATTGTCATCATCATCGTCATCATCACTGGGAAGGCTGTACTCTTCTGGTTCCGCTTCTTCTGCTTCTTCATTTTCTTCCTCATCGTCAATAAGGTCATCTGAAAGTAACCCAACTTACAGGAAATCTGTTGTACATAGTAAACTGAAGTTCCTTGGGGCAATTTAAACATGGAATCTACTGCTATGGATAAGGCCAGTAGGACATATGAAGATCAGTAATATCATAAAACTGCAGAAAATACAGAACTTACAAGACAAGGCAAGATGTAGAGATGACTTTTAATTCTAGGAATCTTAAGCTTGTGTGAATTATCCCCCTTGAAATCTCCACCAATTGACAACACTCCCCCTGTCAAGATGACCGTGCACTTACCCAGATCCAGATCTGATGCAAGATCACCAAGGTCAATATTAAGGTCTTCATCATCATCGTCATCATCATCATCATCGTCATCACCTCCATCCTCCTCCTCTTCTTCGTCTTCCTCCTCTTCTTCCTGCTGATAATAGATTTGGGTACAAAAAATTGCTTTGGTGTTTTAACAATGTCTCGTAAGCATCTTGCTGACTTTTAATCAGTCTGCTTGTCATATTTTTAAATGACATAGAGCTACAGAAAAATACTCATGCAGATTATACCCTATGAATAAACAATGCCATTCAGAAAGTGGTCTAATGTAACATGTTACATTTGCTGACTTTGTGTGCTGGTGATTAGGTGCCTGACTCTGAGGGTGTGGGTTCGAATCCCGGATGGGACTCAACTGAACAAAAGCACTAGAATCTGTACTTAACAAAGAACTGGTAATCCCAAACATAATACATCCTAAAATTCTAATTACTTGTACTAAGATACACAACATACATATTTCCATGGCATTTTAAGAGTGAGTGAGTGAGTGAGTGAGTTAATGATTTTAACCTTTTGAATATTTACTAGCAATATTCCAGCAATATGGAGGACAGGCTAGATTTTGGATACCAGAAATGGGCTTCTGCACAGTTTTACCCATGTGGGAATCTAACCCGGCCTTCATCCTAAAATTCTAATTACTTAACGCTAAGATACACAACACACATACCCCAGCCCCTCATTTTAAGACATAATTGCCTCTGTAAGCATCATGTGATGCAGGAACACACTGCAAATTTCATCCAATACCTGATCATCCTCTTCATCTCGCAGTTTGCCCATCTCGTACAGTCGACACACACTCTCCTCGCCTCCAACCTCCGAAAACTGCTGATTCTGCAAAACAATATCAGACTGAAACTGAGCATCTTAGTCACACTGTTCTGAATAAAACAGTAGTCAAACACTTAACACAGAGTGAATGGGTGAAAATTTAATATCTCACTGGCCGCATTGTCCCACCTAACAATGTATCTGTTGTTCTAATCACCAAAACTCAATCCTGGTTTAGGTCATGTCCCACAAAACCTTAACCCAGAATTTGGTTTAAATTACAATTATAGAAATCAACGACAACTCAACTTTCAGCCATACATACGTGGCTATTATTGCATAGAACGACTGCTATATGACCAGGTGTGTGGCTTACAAATCCAACAACTTTCAGGTTTATGTCTAAGATACTTCCCTGTAATGTTTCTCCTGCTCACAACAGAGAATGCTGTTACAAAGTTCAGAACTTCAAACTTCAGACTTTTATATACTTTCTACAATCAATACTTTAATTATTAAAATGATTACTTTCATGAAAACTAACAAAAAACTTGAACCTCATTAATTGAACCTTATTACATGTTTTTGTATTTTATATACTTTCTACAATCAATACTTTAATTATTAAAATGATTACTTTCATGAAAACTGACAAAAAACTTGAACCTCATTAATTGAACCTTATTACATGTTTTTGAAGACAATGTAATGCGAGGATACCAGCAGAATCCAAACTATCGTCTACAATCAGCACGAAGCCTATCTCCAACTACAGACAAGTCACTATTAAATCTTTGAAGGGCATTTAGAAGTGAAATGCATAAGGAAAGAAAGATTTATGGATGTCAACTTCTTTATTGTGAATAACACGATGTTTTGGAGTGTATGCTTGCTCCTTCATCGGGTGATCGGGTGATGAAGGAGCAAGCATACACTCTGAAACATCGTGTTATTCACAATAAAGAAGATGACATCCATAAATCTTGCTTTCTTAAGTCACTATGGTCAAGATGGCCACGTGTATTGATGTTTCACTGACTACCCTCACTGCCAGAAACAAGATGATTCCATAGCTTACCTCAACAACAGCTAAATAGCAGTCTGATTTGTCTGTGCAGAGGTCAAAGATGCTCTTTGTTTTCAAGTCCATGGTGCCTGCCAACAAGCAATGTAAATCACATATACACATGTGTGTCCTGCTTGCAGTGGGTAATACAGGAATCAAACCATGGCTATCTCAGGAACAAGTGTACACTCTCTCCACTACACTACCATAGAGTAGCTGAACAATGGAGAATAGAACAAATATCAAACCCCAACATTGATGGTTTTCACACAAACAAATAATGGTGCACTTTTTACTCCTTTCAGTGACTTAGATTAAGATTCAGGGCCCTGTTTCAGAAAGATATCATAGTGCTACGACTGTCTTACCTCCTGTACTGTAACCTAGACTTACAACAGTCGTAACTCTACGACTGTCTTACCTCCTATACTGTAACCTAGACTTACAGCAGTCCTAAGCTCTCTACGACTGTCTTACCTCCTATACTGTAACCTAGACTTACAACAGTCGTAACTCTACGACTGTCTTACCTCCTATACTGTAACCTAGACTTACAGCAGTCGTAGCTCTACGACTGTCTTACCTCCTATACTGTAACCTAGACTTACAACAGTCGTAGCTCTACAACTGTCTTGCCATACTGTAACCTAGGACTTACAGCAGTCAGAGCTCTACGACTGTCTTACCTGCTATACTGTAACCTAGACTTACAACAGTCGTGTGACTGTCTTACCTCCTGTACTGTAACCTAGACTTCTTACCTACTTCCACTGTCTTACCTGCTATACTGTAACCTAGACTTACAGCAGTCGTGAAGCTCTAATGACTGTCTTAGCAACTCTACGACTGTCTTACCTGCTATACTGTAACCTAGACTTACAACAGTCGTAGCTCTATGACTGTCTTACCTCCTATACTGTAACCTAGACTTACAGCAGTCGTAGCTCTACGACTGTCTTACCTCCTGTACTGTAACCTAGACTTACAGCAGTCGTAGCTCTACGACTGTCTTACCTGCTATACTGTAACCTAGACTTACAACAGTCGTAACTCTACGACTGTCTTTCCTCCTGTACTGTAACCTAGACTTACAACAGTCATAACTCTAAGACTGTCTTACCTGCTATACTGTAACCTAGACTTACAGCAGTCGTAGCTCTACGACTGTCTTACCTCCTGTACTGTAACCTAGACTTACAGCAGTCGTAGCTCTACGACTGTCTTACCTGCTATACTGTAACCTAGACTTACAGCAGTTGTAGCTCTACGACTGTCTTACCTCCTATACTGTAACCTAGACTTACAACAGTCGTAACTCTACGACTGTCTTACCTGCTATACTGTAACCTAGACTTACAGCAGTCGTAGCTCTACGACTGTCTTACCTGCTATACTGTAACCTAGGCTTACAACAGTCATAGCTCTACGACTGTCTTACCTGCTATACTGTAACCTAGACTTACAACAGTCGTAACTCTACGACTGTCTTACCTGCTATACTGTAACCTAGACTTACAACAGTCGTAGCTCTACGACTGTCTTACCTGCTATACTGTAACCTAGACTTACAACAGTCGTAACTCTACGACTGTCTTACCTGCTATACTGTAACCTAGACTTACAACAGTCGTAGCTCTACGATAGCTTTGTGAAACGTGGCCCTGAATCGTAATCTAAGTCACTGATTGTGCGTGATACAGGCAAACCTCTTACTACAACACTAAACAGTTACAGGTGGTTCTGTGGCATTTCATTGACTCCGGGTTCGTACAGATTATCAGCCATCAAAGTTTAGGTCTTCTAGGGGCTTTTCAAGGCCCAGTCAACCATTCTAAGGAACTACATAAACACACATTACTGACAAGTAGTTGAGCACACACAAAGTTGGTCAAAGGTGAGACCGACCATCAGGGGGAAGTAACTCTTAGCTTGGTGATGGAGTATAACACCCAGTTTCATTGCCAGGTATGTGGACATTGTGGCTAACAAAGCCAGTTGTTTTCCAATGTTCCCAAACTCCCCTAAATACAGTAGGCCATGCCAACTCATCTACTGTTTCTTGATTGTGTGGAAACAGAGAGGACAGGACTCAAATGTCATTATAGTATTGAAAGGTGTCACAGATTTGGTATTGTAGTTAAACCAGTAGAGTCAATTCTTAATTAACTTTAACTGACAGTATAAAAAACAAGAAGACAAAGTCATCAATATCCCCCGCAACAGCAAAATACTCATTATGAATATGTCTACTAGTTATGATTACATTACATTACATTACATTTATACATTATATAGCGCTAATATCCAGTCTTAAGAAGACTGCTCAACAGCGCTGCTGAACTCTGTATGCAATGCTGAACAAATGAGTTTTTAATCTGGATTTGAAAGTACTGAATGTCTCTACTGATCAAAGAGAGAGATAATGTCAAATGTTTTGGAGTATATACAGCAAAGTGGAAGGAGAGTATTGAAAGGTTTTTAAGATCTGCTCCAGAGAGGAGCACTACCACCAAATTCAGTTGAAGCCTAACTTGTTGCCATGGAAATGCAACAAGATGACATCCTCATAGTCACAGCCTAAGTCACGTTTCCATGGAAACCACAAAAATAAAATTCATATCTGGGTCTAAACCCCAAAAGGCACATCTAGGGATCATGCTTGATATGTGTACCAAGTTTGATGAAGCTAGCATGTATAATTTAAGAGATCTGCTCTGGAAAAGATGACATCCTCATAGCCACAGCCTAAGTCATGTTTCCATGGAAACCGCAAAAAATAAAATTCGCATCTGGGTCTAATCCCCAAAAGGCACATCTAGGGATCATGGTTGACATGTGTACCAAGTTTGGTTAAGCTATCACCAATAGTTTAGGAGATATGCTTCGGACAAAGTGTGACGGATGCACGGATGGACACACGGACGGACGGTCGGACAGAACTCGTTTCTATATCCCCCGCAACTTCGTTGTTGAGGGGGATAATAACAAACAACAATCCAATCTGGAGTTGTACTATCATTTCCTGCAGACGTAGGTCTACATTTTGGATATTTATAAATCCCAGCTAAGGTTTCACAAAGTTGCTAGCTGTTCGAAGCATGTACTTTTAACACGTTTTTGTCTATTTGAAAATGGCAGTAATGACAAACATATTTCTCTCCAGAATTATCCCAAGGACACAACAACTGACCGATACTGCTGTAGTCCGTGGCATCAAAAGTGCGCAGTGTGGACCCATATGGACTCCGGTAGCGGTCTTCTGGATTATCTGGGTCCTCATCTACCCTTGTTGCTGAAATAGAAGAAACAAAACACTATTATTCAAAAGATTACCTTCGAGGTTCCATGTTCCAATTCTACATATTTCGCCCTTATAACTTTACAAATTCAACAAACTGCATCACTGCATGAAATAAACATTTCATAAAAAGCTAACAAACACAAACGGACATAAGGATTACATCTGTTCACAGTAAAGCTTCCCATTCTAAAAGAGATCTTATAGACAGGACTGTCACTCAAACTGCAAACCTTGCCATTCGTACAGTTTAGCCCTCATTCTACTAAAGCTCATCTCACACAAAGTGACAGTCGAATGTGGGCATTACCATGATCTTAGTACAAACATTTCTTTGTGGGGAGGGGCCTAGATGTCCAAGTTTACAGACACAGTTGAGGCAAATTGTAGTTTACATTGCTTAGTTCAAGCACATGATCCATGTAGATGACCGTAGCTCTATAAATACAGTATATACAACAGTTAAGATGAACTGAGTAAGTGAGTGAGTATGGTTTTACGCCGCTTTTAGCAAAATTCCAGCAATATCACGGCAGGGGATACCAGAAATGGGCTTCACACATTGTACCCATGTGGGGATTCGAACCCGAGTCTTCAGCGTGACAAGCGAACGCTCTAACCACTAGGCTACACCACCGCCCAAGTTAAGATGAAAACATTGCTTACAGCAACTGGCAGTTCTGAAATCCACTCCATGTGGCTCTCACTTTATGAAGGTTCATAGTCCACTGAACTCACAAACTGAAAGTAAATTGTTAAGAGTCTTACCATATATGACATCTCCGGAGTGGTTGAACTTGATCTGGCACTGGTCTAGAGCTGGAACTGTGTTTAATAGATGGAAGGTTCGGATGTCCCACTGAGGGAGGTTAAGGAGTGAACACTATCATGTACAGCCAAACCCTGCTAATTTGGACCCACCAGCTTGACGAACCAGGAGAATATGGCACTGTCCCACTATTTATACATAGACTGTCCTAGAGCTCTGCATAAGTGGCATAGTTGTATAAAATAGACCAAATCAATCTCCATTACCCAATGTTTTCAGTTTTTGCACACAAGTAGGCATGATGAATGTAAAAAATGTACATGTACAGTACAACAACACTCTGCATAATTCCCCAATGTATCCTTTTCAACTTCCGAACCTTAATTTCTTTACAAGACCTTTTTTTCAATTGACGGACTGCAGGCATTACAAACCCATGCATGTTTTAGCTTCTCTTGAATTATTTAAGGCACAAGAAAACCAAACCAAAATAACCACTGCAAAATTAGATGAAACAAAACACAGCAAAACAAAACATGAAATGACAATGATACTTTGCTTGTGAACCAATTTGACTTTTTAGACTCTCTAAAATTGTTCAGGCAAAAGAAAACCTCAACAAGCATGACCACTATTAGACATTCTAGGATGTGGGTACCACCCTTCTTAACATCAGTGAGTGAGTGAGTGAGTGAGTTTAGTTTTATGCCGCTTTTAGCAATATTCCAGCAATATCACGGCTGGGGACACCAGAAATGGGCTTAACACATTGTACCCATGTGGGAATCGAACCCGGGTCTTCGGCATGACGAGCCAACGCTTTAACCACTAGGCTACCCCACCGCCCCTTCTTAACATCAGTACTTAAATAGTAACTTGAAAGCACTGTTACCAATGTAATTGTGTTTAATGGCAAAAGGTATTTTACAGTATAGCAGAATCAGATTTGAACAATTAACTTCAATCATTAGTGGATGTCAATCACCTAACAGGTAAGATAAACATCTCTCCAGTGATATCACAAGCGATATCTCCTGCTGCAGCCAGTACTGGAGGATATCTTAAGTGTTAGTGAGTCTACAGAGACAGGATACAACTTCAGAGTTGATGATGATCTCCAGGCCCATGGGATGGAAGACACCGCTGATGTATGAGTTGAACTTGTCAAACTTGTGAATGGCTCGACTAGTTCGGACATCCCACAGCACACCATCGTTGAGGACAAGGTCGTCTGTGGGCTGAACGTAGCTGCATTGGCCTTGTAGTTGTTAGCTTTATCCGCATCAAACAAGGTGACGATGTTCTGGCCTGTTAGTGTGTCATATATCTGAAACAAACACAGATGTTATCAGAAACAGCAAATCTTATTGGGCAAGTACAAACTTCCAAAGTGGCATTAAACCTCTTCATCATACACACACATACACGTAGTGCTCCTTCTGAATAATATTCCAGCTATATCCGACAAAACAGAAAGCATTACAACAATCAGGACACAACAAACCATCATCAGCCCAGTCTCACAGTCTGACCACTCATTCAGTTATTGCCAATCTATGCACATAGAGTTTTCACTTTTAGTCATTAAATTTCAAGAGGAATGAAATAAAACGATTGAAGACAAAAGAGTCTATCATTACCCATTCAATATTTTATTAATTAAGTGATACAATGACAGGCCCCAATGTTTATAATAAGCAGTTCCACCATAGGGTCATTTTGCTTTGGTCTTATGATCAGCCACTACTTGTTATGTTTGACTATTACAACAAAGACGGGCGGTGGGGTAGCCTTGAGGTTGAAGCGTTCGCTCGTCACGCCGAAGACCTGGTTCGATTCCCCACATGGGTACAATATGTGAAGCCCATTTCTGGTGTCCCCCGCCGTGATATGGCTGGAATATTGCTAAAAGCGGCATAAAACCAAACTCACTCACTCACTTACAACAAAAGGGTCATTTCCCTTTGGTCCAATAACTGCATACATCCACATCACTACACACACAAGAGCATACAGGACCATACAACAGCATACGTACATGTGCTGTTTCATCCTTTGTGCCGATAATTCTGTCTTGTAAAACTTTACTGAACTCTGCATAGTGATCATCAAATGTGAATCTGCAAGATAAAAGCAATGGAAGTCAAGACTCTGCACTGGATCAAACTGATTCCAACAACCATCCTTACTCGACAAGACAACCAAAATGATACACAGCTGGTACCTGCCATACCACCTTGGTCCACTCATGTAAACACAGTACTTGATGTGCAGTGAACCTATCGTGACATTGTCCATCAATATCCAGAATAATACCTCACTTAGTGTGGTCAAGGGACACTCTGTTTTAATATCACTTTCAGGATGATTTCAACATATTTATGTTTCATGCTTTATAGTAAACTTTACATTACTGATAACTAGAAAAAAACAAACCCTCTGGTCAGCTGTCTGCATGTTCAAACATCCCTTCACAACCATTTCCTAAAAGCTTAAAATCCTAAAACTACAGCCATGTACTTCCAGTCTTCAAATGTTTCTCCTATATATTTGACCCGTGAAGATCCGCGCTAGAATTGATCTTCAGTAACCCATGCTTGTCGTAAGAGGCAACTAAAGGGATCGGGTGGTCAGACTCGCTGACTGGGATGACACATGTCATCGTATCCCAGTTGCGTAGATCGATGTTCATGCTGTTGATCCCTGGGTTGTCTTGCCCAGACCCAATTATTTACAGACCGCCGCCATATAGCTGGAATATTGCTAAGTGCGGCATAAACTAAACTCACTTACTCACTCCTATTTATTTACTTCTATCAAGACAACATTCTTCAGAAATAAATCTTGTTTGGTAGGCTCGAGTATCTCTGAGCAAGATAGGGTAGGCCTCTTGCTGACTCAGCATTCAAGTCACAGCAGGTCTCCACCTCCCTATTTCCATCACTCACTTGTTCTCCAATGATTCCCCAAAGCCCCACAGAGATGAGTCTTGCATCGTTCCCCATGTTGAGGTCAACAGGAGCTTCCCATCCTGAAATCAGAAGACATCTAAACTGTGTGCGGAAAATACAAGCATCCTGTGGAAACCCTGAGCGGGTATATCGACACGGTCAACAATACTGCTGTGTTATCATTATAGTCCATATGGGGCGGTGGGGTAGACTAGTGGTTAAAAAGCGTTCGCTAAACTGTGAAGCGTCTTCATGCCAAAGACCTGGGTTCTATTCCCCACATGGGTACAATGTGTGAAGCCCATTTCTGGTGTCCCCCGCCGTGATGTTGCTGGAATAATGCTAAAAGCGGCGAAAAACCATACTTATCACTCACTCATTATAGCCCATAAGGACTACAGCTGGACCCGATACATCAGTGATTACCAGAGTTAACTGAGGAGGGTGGGGGGTTTATGATACCCTAACCTCATGCATCAATACACATCATGATACGCTAGTGATATGATACTTAATTGTATACTCACCCTGGAAGGTTCAAGATGGATGATAGGGGATGTGTGGCAGGTGAGGGTGTCTACTTGCTGCAACACAACAGTCAGATCAGATCAAACACTGAGGTCATGTACAACAAGTGCATCAGTCAACACTATATAGATTGTGCAAGAGAAAGGTGGCGAGGTGAGGTGAAATTGGGTTTAACGTCGTGCTTGAGAATATTTCGCTCATATGACGAACGTGCATGCGTGTGTATGTGTATGTACGGCTGCTTGTACTAGCCCAGACTTAAGCTGGTTTTATAGTGCTAGCCCACTGAGATACCATGCCGTTGTGAAGCATGAATACCCCACTCAGACACATTATACTGACTCCGAGCCGACCAGTCCTTGTTGTACCCATTAATGCCGAGCACCAGGCAGGGACCAACAAGTACCATATGTTAACATGTTTTGGTATGACGCGGTCGGGGATCAAACCCGCGACCTTCCGCTCTCCGGGCGGACGCTCTAACCACTACACCACGGAGGCGGTCCGCTGCAAGAGAAAGAGTTACTAAAACCCATCAGTCAGCAATAGTTCACCTACTATCAGGCACTTCATAAATAAGTTAGTCTGTATCGGGCAAACCTGTGACAAACAATCATGGCTACACACAAAACAAACAAGCTTGATCACCCAAGCCTTTTCTGTCAACGTTTGTGAAAACACAAGTTTGCTGTGTACAAACTCTATGCCAGAATCACCACAGGTAAAGATGAGTGATGACCAACACTTTCGTCAAATAAAATTTGAAATCTGTGTCGCTAATACAAGATACTGACACAGACACTGACTCACCTCTCCAGTTAACTTGCTTGATAGTTTCACATCACCAGAGAATGTCCCGAGTAACAAGTACTTTTCATCCGACTGGAACAGAGACATATGTGCTTCCTTCATCAAATAATGGAGTCTTTGTGTAAAGAGGGTCCTTGAATTAACACTCCCACCCATATTCTTATACAAGATGTTTAAAAACAACCGTTTGTTCATTTCTTGTACGCTGTCTTGAATTTTGCGATAGTTTATCACTAGACATGATGAGGTACTATATCAGTAGTGTTTCCTGATTGCTGGGCCTAGTTTATTATGCACAGAATAGGAGTATCGATTGTAACTTGCCTTGCAAAATAAGCCAGAAATAGCAATCAGCTGTACAGTGTTACATTATACCCAATAACAGTCAGAATAATCAATTTACTGCCATGACCTAGTGTATGAAATCTTTCAATATACCGGTAGTTTGTCAGTCGGTATGTTAGGATCTCTAAGAACTCACACTAAAGGCACAACAAGCAAATCCATCTTCGTCCCCATCTCGGTACGTCCTCACTGGCCGGAACCTGCACACACAGTGGACAATCAATACATCTGTTTACAACAGACATGAAGAGGAACAAACTGGAAACACCTGTTAGATAACTGAAGTCAGATAACGACACTCACCTGCTGTAGATATACTTTCTATTGCACCGGGCTCCATCCATGCCACCGAATCTTGGACAAATCTGAAAGCATCACAAAAAGGTCTTGAAACATCCTTTCACTGGAAACTGCATCAAATCTGGAAAAGTGAATTAAAAATTTTACCTTGAAACTACTTGTCTGGATGTTCAATCAGACTTCACATTCAGTCATTCTTCGATGACTATGTTACCTCATTTTTAAATACTGAGAGGTACATTTAATGGTTGTAAAAAGCAGTGAAGAATTATTAGAATATTCAACAGACACCTGGCTACATGTTTGACAGGAAAGCAGAATAGTGAATTTCAAGTTTTAGGGAAAGCGGAGAGCTATGAATTTGGTGCTTTTGTTTATCTTACTATGATGTGATACCTTTGGCATCAGAAACAATGTTTCAGCCACCTAAAATAGGACTTGTTAAGTGAGTGAGTATGGTTTTACGCCGCTTTTAGAAATATTCCAGCAATATCACGGCGGGAACACCAGAAATGGGCTTCACACATTATACCCATGTGGGGAATTAAACCTGGGCCTTCAGTGTGACGAGCCAATGCTTTAACCACTAGGCTACCCCACTGCCCACTTATTAAGCAGCCTTGTCTGGCATTTACATCATATATGCAAGTAGGTTATAATGGCGTTTACAATACCGAGGAGGATTGTTGCCTGAAGTGAGGCTATCCAGGGGAAAACTTGGACTTACTTCTCTCTTCCTGAGTCTGGATGTAATACATGGCGGTGCACTGGTACGACCCTTCGGTTCTGGGCATCGATGAGGTCTACATAGAACATATATTTAGAGTTAATTGTTGGAAGTTGCAGGGGCTGAGTGGGTCTAGGCGGCTGACTTTGTGTGCTGGTGATTAGATGCCTGACTCTGAGGGTATGGGTTTGAATCCTGGATGGGACTCAACCCAAAAGTACTAAAATCTGTACTTTACTAAGAAAGTGTAATCATGAACCTCACTCCTTGACATTAACTCGAACCTCACTCCTCGACACTAACATGAACCTCTCTCCTCTACACTAACATGAACCTCACTCTTCGACACTTACTCTTTGACACTCACATGAACCTCACTCCTCAACACTAACATGAACCTCTCTCCTCGACACTAACATGAACCTCACTCTCCGACACTAACATGAATCTCACTCTTCGACACTAACATGAACCTCACTCCTTGACACTCACATGAACCTCACTCTTCGACACTAACATGAACCTCACTCTACGGCACCAACATGAACCTCACTCTTCGACACCAACATGAACCTCACTCTTTGACACTAACATGAACCTCACTCCTCGACACTAACATGAACCTCACTCCTCGACACTAACATGAACCTCACTCTTCGACACTAACATGAACCTCACTCTTCGACACTTACATGAATCTCACTCTTCGACACTAACATGAACCTCACTCCTTGACACTAACATGAACTCTCACTCTTCGACACTAACATGAACCTCACTCTTTGACACTAACATGAACCTCACTCCTCGACACTAACATGAACCTCACTCTTCGACACTAACATGAACCTCACTCCTTGACACTAACATGAACCTCACTCTTCGACACCAACATGAACCTCACTCTTTGACACTAACATGAACCTCACTCCTCGACACTAACATGAACCTCACTCTTCGGCACTAACATGAACCTCACTCTTTGACACTAACATGAACCTCACTCTCCGACACTAACATGAACCTCACTCTTCGACACTAACATGAACCTCACTCTTCGACACTAACATAAACCTCACTCCTCGACACTAACATGAACCTCACTCTCCGACACTAACATGAACCTCACTCTTCGACACTAACATGAACCTCACTCCTTGACACTCACATGAACCTCACTCTTCGACACTAACATGAACCTCACTCTACGGCACCAACATGAACCTCACTCTTCGACACCAACATGAACCTCACTCTTTGACACTAACATGAACCTCACTCCTCGACACTAACATGAACCTCACTCTTCGGCACTAACATGAACCTCACTCTTCGACACTCACATGAACCTCACTCCTCGACACTAACATGAACCTCACTCCTTGACACTAACATGAATCTCACTCTTCGACACTAACATGAACCACACTCTTCGACACTAACATGAACCTCACTCTTCAACACTTACATGAATCTCACTCTTCGACACTAACATGAACCTCACTCCTTGACACTCACATGAACCTCACTCTTCGACACTAATATGAACCTCACTCTTCGACACCAACATGAACCTCACTCTTTGACACTAACATGAACCTCACTCCTTGACACTAACATGAACCTCACTCTTCGGCACTAACATGAACCTCACTCTTCGACACTAACATGAACCTCACTCTTCGACACTAACATGAACCTCACTCTTCGACACTAACATGAACCTCACTCTTCGACACTTACATGAATCTCACTCTTCGACACTAACATGAACCTCACTCCTTGACACTAACATGAACCACACTCTTCAACACTAACATGAACCTCACTCTTCGACACTTACATGAATCTCACTCTTCGACACTAACATGAACCTCACTCCTTGACACTCACATGAACCTCACTCTTCGACACTAATATGAACCTCACTCTTCAACACCAACATGAACCTCACTCTTTGACACCAACATGAACCTCACTCCTCGACACTAACATGAACCTCACTCTTCGGCACTAACATGAACCTCACTCTTCGACACTAACATGAACCTCACTCTTCGACACTAATATGAACCTCACTCTTTGACACTCACATGAACCTCACTCCTTGACACTCACATGAACCTCACTCTTCGACACTAACATGAACCTCACTCTTCAACACTAACATGAACCTCACTCCTCCACACTTACTCTTTGACACTCACATGTCAAGACTCGCATGAACATCACTCATCACGACTCACAATAACATGACTAGTCGGTACTCACTTGAACAATGACATGGGTGGACATGTGACCACTGGGTTCCGACACAGAGCATGCTGTTTCCTGAGGTATTCGGTGACAATCTTGTTGAGAGAGATGTCATACTCTCCACCAGTCTTGCCGGAGGTTTTTAACCGAACTGAACTAAGTGTCTGGCTGTCCTTTTCTCGAAGGAACTTACTGGCCTTTGCAACCTGCAACAACACCTGGAAGTTACTCCTAACCTGTGGAAGTTTCAGAAAGAAATATAGGTCCCAAGCCAACTATGCTTGTCATACAAAGGGACTTCAGGAACCACATGGTTAGGTTTTGAGACATCAGTGGCAATATGTTGAAAAGGTTTACCTCAAACAATAACTGATTGTATCAGAAAATACAGCCTGTCAGTGTTAAGTTCTGATTTCAGCTTTGTATGAAAAGCTTTCAACCAATTAATGATCCAGTCATACAGTTTGAGCCCCCAGCACACTTTTCCAACTCTGTTTCACTATTTTCAAAATATTTCAGCTGTGACATATTGATTATAATCAGGATAATCTTCCTTGCCTGAAACAAACTACAGCAAACTTAGGCTTCAGACAAATAATTCAATTTACAGATGTGTTGAGAGAAGCCTGATGTCAGTTGACAAAGTCTGTCCTGGAATTTCCCCAAGGAAACACTCACCCTGTGCGTAGATGCTGATGCTGTTGATGTAGATGGAGTGGATGGTTGCCGTGTCAGCGAGAAGCGGATGGGTCCGGGACTGGAGGTGGTCGAGGTGGGGGCTGCAGGGGACTGTCTCTCAGTATGGATGTCAGACTGTGACTAGATGCTGTGAATGAGGGAGTCGTTGAGTCCCCAGGCTGTGAATACATCAGGAATGAGTCTGACTAAGCTAGATCTGTGAGACTGAAAGTGAGTCAAAAGGATACACCATGATAAAGATAGTGCATGATCAGGATATGCTAGGGAGTCACAGAATGAATATACATCAGGATATGCTAGATGGGAGTCACAGAATGAATACATCAGGATATGCTAGATTGGAGTCACTGAATGAATACATCAGGATCTGCTAGATGGGAGTCAGGATACTAGATGGGAGTCACAGAATGAATACATCAGGATATGCTAGATGGGAGTCACAGAATGAATACATCAGGATGTACTAGATGGCAGTCACAGAATGAATACATCAGGATGTACTAGATGGGAGTCACAGAATGAATACATCAGGATGTGCTAGATGGCAGTCACAGAATGAATACATCAGGATGTACTAGATGGGAGTCACAGAATGAATACATCAGGATGTACTAGATGAGAGTCACAGAATGAATACATCAGGATATGCTACGTGGAAGTCACAGAATGAATACATCAGGATGTACTAGATGAGAGTCACAGAATGAATACATCAGGATGTACTAGATGAGAGTCACAGAATGAATACATCAGGATGTACTAGATGAGAGTCACAGAATGAATACATCAAGATGTACTAGATGAGAGTCACAGAATGGATATGCTAGATGGGAGTCACAGAATGAATACATCAGGATGTACTAGATGAGAGTCACAGAATGAATACATCAGGATACAGAATGAATACATCAGGATATGCTACGTGGGAGTCACTGAATGAATACATCAGGATATACTAAATATGAATGGAAGTGCACTCTGTGTTTGTCAAGTCTGTGGATTGAGTTACAAGAAAGAAGCTAATAATATTAAAACTTTTGTATTTTGGCCCTACTCTCGATAACTCAATGATCTTCACGTTAGCATCATTCATGTCATCATAACATTTAGCAGTTCCAGAACAGTAAAACGCTTTATATTATTTAGCACAACCAAAACATTTCGCCATTCCTGACAGCAGCATACAAATTTCACCATCATACCAAACCAAACAGGATCTGTCTTTACCGATGCTTCATAACATGGGCAACCGTAACATTAAGAGAAGAACCCACTCATATCCAGATTCAACACATGAAAAAGGACCAAGAAACAAAGTAGTGAAGAGATTTCAACAAACTTAGGGTAGATCATGGCTATCAATCTGTCCCAATGCTGGCTATATGTTTAAAGATTGCTTCTAAGATTGCCCACACAGGAGAGATGGTGACTTACAAGTCTGGGTGTGGATGGTGAAGAGAAGATGTGTGTGCTGGTGGGAATCACCAGTGGAGGGGTGGAACAGTGCGGCAGGCACGCTTGTTTTTGGAGGCTAGAAGCGGCATCACAGAACCCTGTAACACCAATTTTTCATGTAAAACATTTTCTACATCCCTGGTGCAAAATTCTACATTTGAATCTGGCATTATTTTATTGTAAAATAATTGATAACTGGTTAAGTCAGAGTCAGAAATGTTATTTATTAGCATAGTACCAAACACAACAGCTTTCACACAGGCATACGTTCCCAAAATCCTTGATTGAGTGAGTGATTTTATTTTTACACTGCTTTTAGCAATATTCCAAGCAATATCACAGCAGGGGACACCAGAAATGGGCTTCACACATTGTACCCATGTGGGGAATGTCTTCGGCAAAATCCTTAAGCCTTGGAAATAAGAATCTGTGTTCGCTTTCCTTTAAGTATTGTGTTTCCTGTTTCCCTTCTGTTGCAGTCATATGACGTGTGTAGGCTATACAGGTTAAACAAATAACAAACAACACATCACCTTTGGCCAAGAGATGATCATGTATTAAATGCAGCAGCTCTCGCTCTTGGAAGATAATCTTGGTCTGTGCTACAATGTCTGCCTGGAAACAAAAAGTAAAAATGAGCAGAGAAACTGATAACAAGTTGAAACAGATTCATATCAGCACCTAATTGCTCATTAAAACAGCTGATGTCAAATCTAAGAAAATGTATTAGCCAACAGTCATAATATTTCAACTGTATTAGAGCAACATGTAATTTTTTAAGTAAAATTGATATTTTATACTTATCCTGACTCATGCTTATTATGCTTATCTCCTTCTATGGGGGCGGTGGGGTAGCCTAGTAGTTAAAGCGTTGGCTCGTCACGCCGAAGACCTGGGTTCGATTCCCCACATGGGCACAATGTGTGAAGCCCCTCTCTGGTGTCCCCCGCCGTGATATTGCTGGAATATTGCTAAAAGTGGCGTAAAACTAAACTCAGTCAGTCAGTCAGTCCTTCTTCTAAGCGAATAGTAGTGGAACACTTGAATCCCTTGTAGTTCCCTTGAAGAGGACGTAAAAGTTCACTCACCCACGAGTTGCCTCCCTTTTCTCGCCAAAACAGTCATGTGACTTGCCATGCTTGTCACTCTTTCCTGAATAAGCCCTTGCACCTGGGTTTGCTGGGAAACCCGAAGTGTCTTCTCCGGGGGAGATTCGGAGGGCTTAACACCATGAGTCAGGATAAGTATAAAATATCAATTTTACTTAAGAAATTACATATTTTTCCTTATCCTGACTCATGCTTATTATGCTTCCAGAATCTGACAGAACTGGTGGTGGGTCAGGCCACTTTGTGGATTCATCAGCTGTCCTTAGATACGTCCTGTATCCCCCCCATGGGCACTGCGTAACGGCACTTCCTGGATCCTGTTCTTCCAACTTCCGCTGTCAACTCAGGGGGACCACATCTTGTCATATCCTCTCTAAGACAAGTGAATCTTGTAGATTCATGTGGATTTTAGATATACTAGTATCTTCTTCTTACTAGTTATCTATAAACAACCCATAGATTATGATAAGATCGTTACCATAAATGAGTTGCGACCCCTTAGCGTATGGGTAAGATCGTTACACGTACAGAGTCTTAGTCACTCATGCTAGTCTGGTGTAGACGGTGCGCATGGACTCTCAACCAAAACTCTCCAGAGTGAAGGTTATCAACAAGTCAGTGAGATAAAGGGTGAGATTTCCATATCAGCGCCTTTGTGGAACCGTTAGTTGTTGTGCTACAACAAGTGGCCCAAACTGGTGAATGCCGGAGACATTTTCAGTGGTGATGTCTCTGAGGTAGTGGTTGACAAACACTGTGTCCGACTTCCAATAGCAGCCCTCCATTATAGATGATATCGAGCAGTTTCTGTGCAGAGTGAGTGTGGACACCAGTGCTCTGACTTCGTGTGGGTTGGAAGCTCTTGCAGGTTCTAGTCCTGCTGCTTTGTAGGCCCTCTGTATAACAGCTCTCATCCAAAATCATATTGTCGTTTTTGAAACTTCAGTGGTCGTCTCTGCTGACAAGGGGATGAATAGGCGCTTGAATTTTCTTCTCCTTGTTTTAGTCTTTTGAAGATATATCTTCAGGGCTCTGACAGGACACAAGGATAAGTCCTGGGTGTCCTCTGGTCCAAGGATCGTAGATAGCGCTGGGACGTGGAACTGTCTGGCCGGTTGGCCAGGTAACTGATTCTTTGCAATGAAGTCCCATCTAAGCCTAGATGTACTGCAGCACGGTCTCCTGTGTCGAATCTAGTTTGTCCCAAGTCCAGCGCATGTATCTCTGACATCCGAGCTGCTGTGGCTAGGGCAAGGAGGAACAGAGTTTTCTGTGTGAGTAGCTCGAAGGTAGTCTGTTCTAGTGGTTCGTAGACATCACTCGTGAGATGTTGTAGAACCATATTCAGATCCCAGGCTGGTGCTCTGAATTTCTTCTGCTGGTCTTCCAGTTTGAAGGAGCGTAGTAGAGCAAGTAGTTCTGGCACTTTCATCAGCTTGATGCCCGTCTTCATCGTGACGACTGTACTGACAGGTGCTAGGTATGTAGATAGTGTCGAACGCTTTCAATTGCTTCGTATATCTAAGGTGACATAGATATTCCGCCATTTGAGGATGAGTCGCTTTCATTGCTGTGAGGCCTTTCCGCACTGCAGACTGTTCAAATCTCTGCCACTTGTCGTCATAGAAGTTGTGAGTTGATTTGCGTAAAGCTAGGATAACTGCTTTCGCTGCTCTGGCAGAGTATCCTCTTTTCTTCAAGCAAGTCTTGATATGGTCCATACGTGTAGCTGGAATGTTAGCGGGTTTCCATGAGCTTGCTTGGTGTGCGGATGTACGAGCAGGTTCGGCCACTCTGGTAGTTTCAGGGTTGGACTTCAGAGTTCTTGTATTAGATCTGGGAACCAGACTCTCGCTGGCCAGTAGGGCACGACCAAAGTCAGTTGTAGCACTTGGGTCTGCTTGTTCTTCAAAAGTACTTGAGGTAGTAGAACCGGAAGCGGGAACGAGTATGCGTTCAGTTCTTCCCATGACATGCTCAGTGCATCTGTTGCCCAGGCTTGAGGATCTGGTACTGGTGAGATGAATGTCTGTAGTTGTTTGTTGAACCTTGTGGCGAACAGGTCTATGACTGACTGACTGAGGTTTGGTATTACGCCGCTTTTAGCAATATTCCAGCAACATCACGGCGGGGGACACCAGAAATGGGCTTCACACATTGTGCCCATGTGGGGACGCTTTAACCATTAGGCTACCCCACCGGCCCGAACAGGTCTATGAAGGGAGATCCTATTTTCATTATGATGAGCTGGAACGCCTCTGGGTGGAGCATCCATTCCGTGGGTGACGGATGAAGTGCGCTAGATAGAGTGTCTGCTAGCACGTTGATCACAGCTTTCATCTCCAACTGGTTGATGTGAAGATGTTGTTCCTGTTTCAACCACTTCCCTGATGCCACTTCGTTGTTGAGATGCGCTCCCCATCCTTGTAGTAAGGCATCTACGTAGAGGTGCCTGTCGAAGACCGGCTCTTCTAAATAGGTTCTCCGCAGACATTCGACTTGTGAGTCATCCATAACAGGTAAGTCTTGAGACTGTATGGTAGAGAGATCAGGTCCGTGCTGTCAAGGTGTCTTGCCAGGAATCGCTGCAGTGGACGTAATTGTAGTCTTCTTCTGTGAGTCAGATCCTGCGCTGAGGTGAGTGGACCGAGGAGACACTGCCATGTTCGTAGTGGTAACGGAAAGATGACTGCTTCTAGAATCATGGCTTGGATCTTGACTCAACGATCTTCTGGGACCACAATATGATTCTGTGTTGTGATGAACCTTATTCCCAGGAACTGAAGATCTTGCTTTGGTGCCAACTCTGACTTCATCAAGTTTACTAGCCATCCCAGTTGTGTTATCAGTTTGATGGTGAAGTCTAGCTGCCGTCTGAGTTGATTGGCTTCTTGATGAACTTGTATCCCGTCGTCCAGGTAGAAGGCACTGATGATGATGTAGATAGGTGACGATGGACTTGGTCACTCGTGTAAATAACCACAGGGCCGACTCTATTCCAAACGGCAGGACACACCACTGGAAGTGTCAACCTCTGAACAGGAATCTCAGGCATATGCTGGCCAAGTAATCTGCTGGACGGACGAGTTGTCTGAGTTGAGGCAGGTGGATGATCTTCATGTTGTTTATCAACCTGAACTACTCTTTGGAGTTCTTCTTTGGTACCAGGAATATTGGGGAGTAGAAACTGGGCGTCAGATGATGTTGATCTATCACTTCTACGGTGTTCTTGGCCAATAGCGAGTTGATGGCTCCTTCCAGCTTTTCTGCCTGGTTGTCTGCATAGTTGAAGACTAACAGGTCGATGGTCAGCGGTGGTGTGGCCTTCAGCTGCACTCTGAAGCCTTCTCGCAGTACTTGTGAGACATAGTCATCCTCCAATATTCACCAATTTTCCCAGTACCTTTGTAGACGTCCACCCACTGTCAATGGTTGTAAAGGAATGGCTGGGGGTGGAAGTGTCCAGTCGTTCTGAACCCCATCTGTAACGCCTTGATCCTCTGAAACTTCTGGGAGTACTTCCTCTCCCTGAGTTACCCCTGCTGTTTCCAGATGAGTGACGAAAGGAACTCTTCCCGCCTCTGGAGCTGGAGTATTTCTTCTCCTTCGTCTTCTGTACTCCGGAGAACTTTGACTTGTTGCTGTACCTCTGTGACGTGTGACGGATGACGTTGGCCAACGTGTCAATGGACTTGATCATCATGACTTTTCTGGAATCATGTGTGACTTCCTTGGCAACTTCGTCGATCTCCCCGCCGAAGATAGTAGGTGCCGCCCAAGGAGCTCTTAGTAGAGGTTGGGTGAACCTGTCACTCCAGGAACATGTCGATAGTAGACCTTGTCTTCGTAGTAGGGTGAGACCCACCAACGCCGAGGCCAGGTGGTGAGACATGAAGAGCTGGTCCTTAGTGCTGGTCCTGAAGTGCTGATAGGATCATTCTATCCTCTTCAGTCTTGGGGTTCTGGAACCTGGATATCAGCGCCTCGTTGATCGCTCTAGATCTCGCCAGGCCGAAGAACGTTCTTCTAGTCGTGGTCTCGAGTTGAGCAATCTTCTTGTCTTCCACCTTATAAGACTTGATACGGGAGTTGTTGATCAACTTCAAGTTGTCATCCAGGTCTGGCGCTCTCATGAAGGGGTCCATGTGATGCAGAGGGAACTTCTTAGTGTTGAACGTTGGTACATGTTGATTCTGGTACCGGGTTGCTTTCTCGAACGCTGTATGGAGGTTTGCGGACACCTTGGAGATCGGTTCAATTGGTGGAATCGTGAGAGCGTCAAAGTCATCCTCCAGCATCTTGTACTGACTGACTGAGTTTAGTTTTACGCCGCTTTTAGCAATATTCCAGCAACATCATGGCGGGGGACACCAGAAATGAGCTTCACACATTGTACCCATGCCAGCATCTTGTATGTGAACGCTGCATTCGATTCCTTGGAGGGGGACACCAAGTCCAAGCCGTAGTTGCCCTCTTCCTCTGTATACATTCCCTCAGATAGTTCTGGGTCTGCTGAAGTGTTCCTTTCGCGAACCTATGAGGTAGCGTTTGCGAACACTAGTGGATTGACCATGATCTGCTAATTATATTTATCAGTTGATAATCTCCTCCTTCTCCGAACGTCTGTCGTTTCCATCCCGTGACAACACTGATCTACGTCTGTGGGAGCTGCGGGATTCTGCTGTGGAGTGACTGGATCTCGAAGAGGATTCCCTTCTTACTCCAATTGACGTTCTCGGACGTTGAGGGTTCGCTGACGTGACTTTATAGTCTCTTGTAGTCTCATGGACGTTCGTGGACCCTTCTTCCTCTTCTCACATGACAGCTGAGTCTTCCGAACATGAAGATCTTCTTGAACGTGAGCGTTAGCGAACATCGTCTTTGGCCGTGGACTGGATGAGGATGTAGATCTCTCAGGAACAGGTTCTCGAAGGCCAATGCTTCCCCGAACGCCGTCTGCATTGTAGGCTGGAACTGATGCGGTGTAGACAAAGCGTTCAAGAATGCTGAGGCCTCATCTGCGTCTTCTTGCAGCTGCGATGAGGCTACGCTGTTGTTGTCTCTATTGACAGACGACTGCGTTGCTGGAGGCTGGTCTTCAAACAACTGAACAGCTGTTGTGGTTGCAGGGGACGATCATCTCGCCATGGAGGTAGACTGCGTCAACGTTCTAGTAGATCTTACTGGTACTTCAGGCAGCAGTATCGGAGGGTCAGCATAACGTCTGCTTCATCAGGAGGCACAATGTCTTCGTTGAATGACCTCTGAAGCATTGTTTTACTGGAACGAGTTGACTTCAACGAGGTTCTAGATGAAGACGATTTCTTCTGCACTGCAGACGATGAGGACATCTTCCTTATACTCTCCGATGGCGTCGACTCAGTAGTAGCAGACCTCTTCTTAGACCCGGCTAAGTCCCGACCAGCAACAGACGCCCCTGTAACGTACTCAGTAAATCACCTGAATTACAGCAGTAGTTAACAGCATACGGTTACCGGCATTATCTCCAGATTTATCACCAGTGACTTGAGATGACTTCCTCACCCGGTCCATCGCACGTCTATAGATGTAACACAAATAACGATTAAATTGCAATTCTAATAAATTAATGCAGTATCTGCAACGCAAGCTGGAAGAACATGGATTAATGCATTAATGCATTGGGGTGAGGATCAGCCGCTGATAACCGGTACCTGCAGTCACTGCAAGATTTCATCAAACGTAAATAAACTACATTTTGATGAATAGATGTCACAAAATACGTATAATTTTCTCAAAATTTTGACATACGATGAAAGCTAAATATAGCCAAAAACCGTTCACAGCTTAATTTGGATAAAGGATCTAAATATAAAAAGGATATGGTGCCGTATACGGGACTCCAGTGCTCGCCCAACCATCCACTTGGGCGATGAAGGAGAGAGTGACAAGTCATATGACTGTTTTGGCGGGAAAAGGGAGGCAACCTCGTGGGTGAACTTTACGTCCTCTTCCAGGGAACTACAAGGATTCAAGTGTTCCACTACCATTCGCATAGAAGGAGTCAGGATAAGGAAAAATATGTAAGTTTGTTTGTTGTTTAACACTGAAATATTCCAGTTATATGGTGATAGTCAGTAAATAATTGAGTCTGGACCAGACAATCCAGTGATGAAGATCATGAGCATCGATCAACGCAGTCGGGATATGATGATGTGAGTCATCCCAGTCAGCGAGCCTGACCCCCCGATCCCGTTAGTTGCCTCTTACAACAAGCATGGGTTGCTGAAGACCATTTCTAAACCAGATCTTCACGGGTCCATCAATGTCGACTGACTGGGTTTGGTTTTACGCCGCTTTTAGCAATATTCCAGCAACATCACGGCGGGGTACACCAGAAATGGGCTTTTCACATTGTACCCATGAGGGGATTAGAACCCGGGTCTTCAGCGTGACGAGCCAACACTTTAACCACTAGTCTACCCCACCGCCCCCCATCACTGACTGAGTCCTTGGTATATATAGCATCTGCCTTGAGGGCGGAAGTTGCAAGATATCTCATCTGAACAATGTTCATTACATCAATCACTGGACTATCTTGTATAAACTTGAATATTAATAGATCACAGCCATACAGTTGGAAAATATGTATAGCAATCAAACTTGGGACCAATTGTTTCTTTAAATATTCCAAATGATTGGGTTAACAACTGACCTTTCTGATGTCCTCCAGAGAAGCATCAAGTGTGTTGGAACGCTTGCCAGACACACGTTCCAAAAGATCACTGGAATACCGACAGAACTTGATATGTTCCTGTCTCTTGTCCTGAAGAACTGGCTCCTTCATCAGAGCTGGATCAGAGAGACAGCCAGTGAAGTATACATGTCTGTGCTCAAACATTTACAAGTAATTCCAAGGCCCCTCAGTGGCTAACCAAGCCATTTGTTTGCATGAATGTGTTTATGAATCGAAACAATTAGTCCAAACCCACTAGATACCTACTGCTATCTGACTGGCTTTTTTGCAATATTTACAAGAATTGACAATACATTCTTTTTGCTCATATGGGGTTATTAGCGTAAAGAACAGTAGATACTCTTGCTTAAATCCTCTACATATTTTTCAACCATGTACTTTTTTCACATTTGCACCTCCTAAAATGTAAATAATCAATCAATCACCTGATATTTGCAGCATCGTTGCATGCAGGTCAAAACACTTTTCCCTGTATGTAATAACGAATTGCTAGAACACGGCAGCATGACACAAAAACATGGGGGTGAATATCCTTCCTACCCTTGTACCAAAGTGAGAAAGAAACAAACCACATCCCTTTCAACAGAGAACCATCAAATCAAAATAGTATACACAGCAGCACAGAGCTGAATTGTTTTAGGTTTAGGGAGAATGAAGTGTCGGTCATTAGAGATGACTTACATTGGAGAGTTCCATTTTGGAACAGAGGAAGTTTGCTGATGATCTGACGAACCGTTTCAGACCTGGACAGCCCAACAAGAGCCTGAAAAGATAGAAATTAAAACATAAATCTTAACATTCTTAGTCATCAGATGCAAGACACTGGCTGATCAAACTCAGCGTAAGCTTCCCCAGTATCTAACCCAGGGAGCTGTTGTACACAGTGAACTTAGTGCTAAGGTGACTGTGACTACCATACCTAAACCAGGGTGCTGTTGTACACAGTGAACTTAGTGCTAAGGTGACTGTGACTACCATACCTAAACCAGGGTGCTGTTGTACACAGTGAACTTAGTGCTAAGGTGACTGTGACTACCATACCTAAACCAGGGTGCTGTTGTACAAAGGATTGAACCTGGCCTATGCTTGATCTAAGAAATACTGTTCGCTCTACACCCATGTATAGTATAATAAATTGAAAATTTTAACTATAAATTGTATATTTATATACTTATCCTATCTCACGGTATGCACTTCTATCTCTTGATTCGACACTGAGTGGAATGATGTAAACTTTTTCTCCCTAGGCCTCTCTTATCCATCCGCCCAAGCACTCCATGCTACCCTCTCATATAAGACAGCTTCCTAGTTGTCATGCAAAGCATGCAGCATGCTCCACTACCTACCCACGTGACCACCTCTGAATCACCATTCTCATTCTTCGAGCCACTGGATAATCTTAATCTTGGATAATCTGCATAGCAGGGAGGTTGGGCGGGATTCCATCGCGTGAGATAGGATAAGTATATAAATATACAATTTCTAGTTAAAATTTTCAAATTTTAAAACTTATACTATCTCATGGTATGCACTTATCCAACAGTCGGACGGCGAGATGCAGATACCCTATGTCTTGACAGTGCGAACAGTAGAACTGTGTAGACTGGTAACAACCGTAGATAGCGATGCACAAGGGAGGCCTGTTACGACTAGCGCAACTCCTATGCTTGTGAGGAGTTCCCCTGAACTCCTTGGCTTACTAAGCACAATGTCTCCCAGGGAGATGGGTGCTCCCGAGCGATGTGGTGTTTGGCCGCAACCTCCGAAGAACAGAAGGATGCAGCTCAGGGAGTAAGACCTCACTTTGCCACGATTTTCAAGGTACCCTGTAAATTAAAGTCATAGACAATAATTGGGCCAACTCCTGCTGCGAGAAGACCCCCACAGACACCAACCAGGGGCAGGTGAAAGAGAAGCACAGCACGAAAAACTCAGTTTTAACGTTCAGTTCCAGTCAACATCAAATTGACCCTCACTCCTTAAACTTAAGCTTTGTCAAAGGATGAGCCTGGCAACTTCGGACTCGGAACGCAACGAAATCCACTGGAACTCGGGAGAGACACACATCACTGACGTAAGTGCTTGAAAAAGTACAAGTCAGGAAATGCAAAATGTCGAACCCTTACACATCGTTATACAGAATAGTGCTCCAGATTCGTCCAAACACCGAGGCGGTAGTATCTGCGTGTCTTAGTATAAAACTAAGTGAAGTAGTTCTAACCCACAAGCAATCAGAACATAAGGCAGACATCAATTTCAGACTTATATTCAGGAAAGTACAGGGAAACAGCAACCACGTGGGACCGTCCCCTATCTGCGTTGTTGTGTCCGAAAATTCCGACAATCGATACCATCCTGAAGTGAGGCGGACGCTGGAGATAGTGGGCATGGAACATTTTCGTTGAAAATTAGTCTTAGTTTAATGGAGTTTTTTCTTGGGAACCAGAAAGATGGGGGAATAGAACCCCGGAGGGCTGGGCGCCGGACCAAGAGACGAGACTGCACACTTTTCTATGAGCGTCCACCGGGTAACTGCGATGTACCGGATGCACTGTCCGAGGAGGGTGTCCGATGACTGGAAGTTGGTAGCCTTTGGAGAGTAGGTTAGTCACAAAAGGATTGTCTAGGATGGTCCAATTGGGAGCAAACATTCCTTATCTCGTAAATGGGGACAGCTGGAGGCGGAAGTTCCCAGTCATGCCCTTGTTTCGATGAGTCACTGCTTGGGGACCCCACTCTTAACCCCGGAGTCGGACTTTGGAGGATGTCTGGAAGAGTTGCCACAAGAGGACTTGCTACCTCTAGCTCAGAACAACTGGCCACGAAAAACCTGACGAAATTCCAGATGAGATGGCATGAACCAAGGAGTCTGTCTCTGTTTCAAGGAATCTTGCAGATGGGATTTCTGGAGTTCAAGAATTCCACCGAAACTTGAAATTGAGTGTCCAGATCCACCTTCACCGAAACCTCCCCAATCATGCCATTAAATAATGACTCTGAAGACCACGGTTGACGGAAGAGTTCAGTCTCAAACCTGTCATCCCATGAAGACAAATTGAGCGAGCCACGACGCCAAACTGCCAAGAGATAACCAAGGAAATTAGACAGCTGGTCCAATACGATCTGAAATTGGTACAGTATAGGGACATACAGCCCCTAATGTAAGCATCTTGGTCGGAGAATGAGTGCTCTACTGATGCCGCAACTGCGTCCACCACCGAGATGATGCAGTTGATCGAGGTTAAGGAGCGACAAACAGCTGTGTTCATGTGAAACAGTTCTCTGTCCTCAACTAAAAATGCTGAACAAGTCCTTTTCCCGCAAAGTGTTTGGACCTCTTCATCCACCGAAGACGCAGCAGACAACAACTGGAACCCATGGGAGTGAGCCGCCGATATGGAGAATCTAGGTGAAGACAGACCGTACTTAATCCTTTTAAGGCTTTTAAAGGCATGATCCAAGGACGTAGCTAAATGAGCAACTCAAGGTCGTGGTGGAAGTGTAATAGGTGCCAAGTCCCGTTGTTTCATGGAGAAGGAATGCGTCTTCTGGGTTCCATGACATAGGGGAGATGGAGTTTCTCCACTATCCATGCTAAGACTTGAGGTTCGTCAACAAAGTCCAGACTTCCCTCTGGGGAAGCAATATCCGAACGTGCCGGAGATGGAGGATCCGGTGGAAGACCAGGACTGGGCGCTGCAACAGATGGTCTAAGGGTAGGAGCACCCCCCTGTCAATTGAGTAGACTGTCGCTGATTCCAAGCAGTGGTAATAGCACTTAACATCGCAGCCAGATCTGGGGGAGGAGTCGTTTCCTGTGCTGGAGTCCAAGAATCTGGTAAAATCTGTGTAGATAGACGCGAGGAGGCATGAGCCCCTTCTGAAGTCGTAGCATGCTGAGATCAGTAATCTGAACCCCGTTGAGTAGATCTCCTATCTGTATAGCCATACCTATGTCTGGGGGGGACGAACCGGGTGAAGATGCACAAATGGAGACCCGCTGAGGCGATCGGGAGCGAGAACGATGATCCCTGGATCTAGAACGATAGGCAGCAGTCGATCGTGTAGGAGATCTAGGTTGACGGGTTGAGTGCACTGAACTAAAAGTCCCATGATGATGAGAAGACGAAGCCTGATGAGGAGACTTTAAGGGGAGAACGGATCTCAACGAAATAGTTGAAGGCGTGCGTTTAGTAGAATGCGAACGATTCGAAGAGTGGCGTCTCGGTGGTGAACTAGACCTAACAGGTCTTTCCGGTGAACAAATCCGAAGAATAATAGGAGATTGGTCCAAACGACTCAGTGAAATTCGTGTCCGTGCTGAGGACATGACTGTAAGAGCCAACAGAGTTCGGGGAAGTACTCAGAGACATATGATCTGGAGAAGGGCATTCTGCTGAATACTGATTCGAGGAATGCCGTTTCCGGGAAAGTCGATTCAAAACATGCCTTTTCGGTGAAGCCTGCTGTTTCAGTGAACGCTGTTTCGATGAAGTCCATTTCAGTGAAACCTGTTTGGAAGGCGACCGTTCCGGTGAATGTTGATGAGTAGACTGCCGTTTCGCCGATGGCCAGTTCGGAGAGAGCTGATTCGTGGAGTGCCGGTCTGACGAAAACTGGTTCAAAGAATGCTGTTTTGGCGAAGGTAGACGTTCTGGCGAAAGTCGAGCTGGAGGGGTGCGGTTCGGCGAAGCGTGGTCCGGTGAACTGTGATTCGACGAACTTGCAGGCTTCGGCGAAGTGGATGATCGAGGTATCGGGACACAGGAGACAACACTTCTATTCACCGAATGGGAAGTAGTCAGTGAAACAACGACTTGCAACCATTTTGGCGAGCTAGACCGATTACTGTCACTGCTGGACGAATGACGAGATCTTGAATGGCTATGACGAATGCGATCTTGACAGTCAGGCGTGGAAACCAGCTGATTCTTGTCCTACGCACCTGTAACCAAGGTTCCCTTTGATAACTGATCCGGGGAGCGAGACATGGAGAGCCAAGAAGTTTCCGATGGTCTTCAGATAAATAAGAGTCTGACGACGCTTTCATAAAATCCTCTTCATTCGAGGTAGGGGACTGTGACCGACCGGCAGATAAAGTAGGACGCTTAAACTTGCCTTTCTTGGTGGGACTGGGTCCGTCTAACGATGCTGCATAACTTGCTCTATCAGCAACACGTCGAGCGCAAGCCCTGGTGTAGTCTCAAAAGGCCTCAAAGGTAAGATTCTTGCATTTCTCACGAGTTTCCCATTTGCACTGTCCCACACAATCGACACATAAAGGATGTGGATCACTAGCAGAGAAAACCTTGTTACACTGCGAACATTTCTTGCTCTTTTCAGGCTGGTCAGTCTTCCCCATGTTGTATAACTTATGTTGAATACGCTGAGTAAAGTAAACCACGTTCACACTCAAGTGCAACAAGACGGAGAATGATGATTCAGAGGTGGTCACGTGGGCAGCTTGTGGAGCATGCTGCATGCTTTGCATGACAACTAGGAAGCTGTCTTATAATGAGGGTAGCGTGGAGTGCTTGGGCGGATGGACAAGAGAGGCCTAGGGAGAAAAAGTTTACATCGTTCCACTCAGTGTCGAATCAAGAGAGAGAAGTGCATACCGTGAGATAGGATAGGTTTAAAAATGTACCCTTTGCCATGAACTATTTTTGTTCAAGGACGAGGACGCTTGCCACATTATCAGAAAAACAAATGATATAGAGTTTGATGACGGTTTACGTTCGGGTTAAATATGTTCTTATTTTAATTGCATCTGTGATGAACGTAAACCATATGGGGCAATTGTGGGCCTGTTGCCATGTCGCAGTTTAATTGTGAGTCGAGTCGAGTCGAGCCGAGGCATTTTATCCATCGAAAAGCAAAAACCAAAATGTTTCCACCAGTGATATTAGCCAACTAAAACAACTGCAAACCAAGAAACGGCTTCTACGGAGTAGGTAAATGAACGCGGCTGTACGAGGCGATGATAACTGACATGCATTGTGACATCGGTTACCAAGGGTATGTTTCATTATGAGGGGGCAGGCGAGAATGGCCTAGTGACGTCAATACAGTGTGACATCATGCAAAAAGTGCAGCGCCTTTGAACTTTTAGCGAAGCATCTTAGAATCTTTGGTAACAGAGGAATGTAGTGTTGAAAACCTGAAAATGTTGACAAGGGTGTGTACCACCTACCTTGCAGGCCAAGGCTCGGATAGCATCTGCATCTGTGATGGGTGTCTTGATCGTCAGCAGCTTCAGCAGTACCTGCAACATTATCAATCTCATAAGGAAAGACATTACCACATACAGTCCGATTGATTTCATTTGAGACTGATGAATTTCTCACTAACACCAAATCTAATAATAGCAACAATACCTAATTTTGCACAGTCACATGAAATAGACAGACCAACGCTAATGATTAGTCTCAATTTGTGAAAGAAAAAGAGGTTTATCATGACCTTTGATATTTCCAGCCACGGTGCAGTTACAGCCTTTACCAGACTACATCTCCCCGATACTGACCATTATACCATTGTTGCCCTTTACAAGACTACATCTCCCTGATGCTGACCATTATACCATTGTTGCCCTTTACCAGACTACATCTCCCTGACACTGACCATTATACCATTGTTGCCCTTTACCAGACTACATCTCCCGATACTGACCATTATACCATTGTTGCCCTTTACAAGACTACATCTCCCCGATACTGACCATTATACCATTGTTGCCCTTTACCAGAGAACATCTCCCCGACACTGACCATTATACCATTGTTGCCCTTTACAAGACTACATCTCCCCCGATACTGACCATTATCCCATTGTTGACCTTTACCAGAGAACATCTCCCCCGATACTGACGATTATACCATTGTTGACCTTTACCAGAGAACATCTCCCCCGACACTGACCATTATACCATTGTTGCCCTTTATAAGACTACATCTCCACCGATACTACCCATTATACCATTGTTGACCTTTACCAGAGAACATCTCCCTGATACTGACCATTATACTATTGTTGCCCTTTACCAGACTACATCTCCCCCGACACTGACCATTATACCATTGTTGCCCTTTACCAGAGAACATCTCCCTGACACTGACCATTATACCATTGTTGACCTTTACCAGAGAACATCTCCCCGACATTGACCATTATACCATTGTTGCCCTTTACCAGACTACATCTCCCCCGATACTGACCATTATACCATCGTTGCCATTTACCAGAGAACATCTCCCCGACACTGACCATTATACCATTGTTGACCTTTACCAGAGAACATCTCCCTGACACTGACCATTATACCATTGTTGACCTTTACCAGACTACATATCCCACGACACTGACCATTATACCATTGTTGCCCTTTACCAGAGAACATCACCCCGACACTGACCATTATACCATTGTTGCCCTTTACCAGAGAACATCTCCCCGACACTGACCATTATACCATTGTTGCCCTTTACCAGAGAACATCTCCCCGACACTGACCATTATACCATTGTTGCCCTTTACCAGACTACATATCCCCCGACACTGACCATTATACCATTGTTGCCCTTTACCAGAGAACATCTCCCCGACACTGACCATTATCCCATTCTTGACCTTTACCAGACTACATCTCCCATGATACTGACCATTATACCATTGTTGCCCTTTACAAGACTACATCTCCCATGATACTGACCATTATACCATTGTTGCCCTTTACAAGACTACATCTCCCCCGATACTGACCATTATACCATTGTTGCCATTTACCAGAGAACATCTCCCCGACACTGACCATTATACTATTGTTGCCCTTTACCAGACTACATCTCCCCGATACTGACCATTATACCATTGTTGACCTTTACCAGAGAACATCTCCCCCGATACTGACCATTATACCACTGTTGCCCTTTACCAGACTACATCTCCCCTGATACTGACCATTATACCATTGTTGACCTTTACCAGACTACATCTCCCCGATACTGACCATTATACCATTGTTGACCTTTACCAGACTACATCTCCTTGATACTGACCATTATACCATTGTTGGTGCGCACACCATTCCACATCCGACTCATGGTGTCCTCGCCAATCTTCCAGTTGACCTTCTTCTTCGAACCGGCCCCCATGAACCTCCCAACACCTCCACCAAGCTACAACAGAAACACACACTTGAGTTTCTAAAATCAAGATGTTCACTGCCTTTTCTATTGAATTTGAAGACATTTTTCAGGAAAACTTAAAATGAAGGGTTGATTTTCAATTTTGGATTTTCAAAGTTTTCATGTCCTTTACGTTACAAGGGAAACTGTTTGGGTCTCTAGATCTAAATACTATAGCAGCAAATGTCAGTTTATAACACTGCATCGGAATAAATGAGACACAGACCTAGGGTTAATAGAAACAAACAAGCTAAAACAGTGAATTCAATAATTGGCAGAAACATTTCCCTGCAAGAGAACAAAAGGTTCCTGTTACAGTTACCATGGCTACTCACCCTCTCTATTGGTCCACACACACAGTTGACCAGCACTCCTAGTGCCGATTTCTGAACTTCTGGATCTGCCAGAATCTCACCCTCTGCTAGACCTATTATCACACTGTGGACAGAATAAGCTGATGACACATCGTGGGCAGAATATTCACAAACATCTGTGCCAGTGTGCAGATATTTCTAACATTAACACTTCATTGTCATGAGGATGCTTGTGTGTAATCTTTTGTCCTCATCTTGTGATATCACTCGTACAAATGCTTGTACGATTAAACACTTGTCTAACTTGATAAAGTTCTTCTGTCAGTTTAGTTAGCAGTATCTTCATGTACATTGACATATACGCTAATGTTAGAAAAGTTTAGTTAGCAATATCTGTATGTACATTGACATATACGCTAATGTTAGAAAAGTATAGTTAGCAATATCTTCATGTACATTGACATATACGCTAATGTTAGAAAAGTTTAGTTAGCAATATCTTCATGTACATTGACATATACGCTAATGTTAGAAAAGTATAGTTAGCAATATCTTCATGTACATTGACATATACGCTAATGTTAGAAAAGTATAGTTAGCAATATCTTCATGTACATTGACATATACGCTAATGTTAGAAAAGTTTAGTTAGCAATATCTGTATGTACATTGACATATACGCTAATGTTAGAAAAGTATAATTAGCAATATCTTCATGTACATTGACATATACGCTAATGTTAGAAAAGTATAGTTAGCAATATCTTCATGTACATTGACATATATATGCTAATGTTAGAAAAGTTTAGTTAGCAATATCTTCATGTACATTGACATATACGCTAATGTTAGGAAAGGTTAGTTAGCAATATCTTCATGTACATTGACATAAGGTTAGTTAGCAATATCTTCATTCCTCAAAGCTCAATCGGCTACAGAGGTGGAACCATGCCCACTGGAGAGAACTGACTGACCGAACCGAGCACGATCCTTAGAATGCGTGTCAAGTTGGTAATGGCGAATGAAGGCGTTCTGCTGGCTCCAAAGAGCGACAGAACCGATCTCATCATTGAGCAGTGCCGCTGTGTAATGTCAACAAAGCGGCATCTGCCCTACCCAGTCTGCCTGCAACCCCTCGGGGGGAGGTAAACCTTATCATTGTAACCATACAATTATGGAAACAAGCCAACGAGATAAAGTGCGTTTGCTAGCAGACTCCCCAGTCTTCCCGCCACCGAACAGCCCACATGGGTACCCGTGACGGATCCCTGTTGTTCGCTCATTCGCGGACAGGCACGGGTGAGCAATCGAAGATTGGTCCCCGTGCGCGGAAGGCTGGTTAAGGGTGGAAGTGCGATATGAGCAGTCACGTGGAAAGCAATATCACACTGAGAGTGGTAGGTATCCGAGTCGAATACGGACATGATCAGTATAAAATACTGTCAGTGTCGGGTCAGTGGGAATCGCATGGATGTACCCGACCCTTCTACCAGAGTTCACCACAACAAGTAAAGTCGCCTTCCACATCAACAAGTGAAGTGAGAGAGACGATATACTTGAAAAATTAGGGCCGGACAGCCAATTGTGAATAAGTGGCAATTTTAAGGTGGGCTGGTCGCCGACGGCGAAGGCGGTCGAACCCTGCTCATGCCAGCTACGACGCGATGTACGAGAGGATGCTGCCTAGGCAGAGCACCATCGAACGAGGTGTGAAACGTGGAAATAGCCATGGAGTACCCGGCAATGGTGGAGGTCATAAGGCTCTCAACCAAAACGAGGTTATAGTAACTCCAATATCCGAACTAAATCCGCAGAATAGGGATTATGAAATCCCCCTATCTGCACACCAGCGCGCCCCACCTATCAACACACTGAACGGGTGTCGAATCCCAGCCAGAATTGTGTCTGCAACTGGTGCAGGAATTCCGCTCGCACGGAGGCGATCCCTGACAGCGGCCAAGCCACCCACTGAATCCTGGGATTCGGGTGGGGCGCTCCGTTCTGGGATAGGAGGTCCGGTCGACAAACAAGGTAATAGAACAGGAGGCTGAGCAAGAAACCTGAGAATTACCGGAAACCAGCGTTGTGCCTGTTGTGCCGACCAAAGGGGTGCCAGAAGCACAAGTAGCCGAGCTGGTTGTGCGGTCAGCTGTGACAGGACCCTGGAATCAGTGGTATCGGGGGGAACGCCCACAGTACCCTGTCCGATTCCAATCGAGCTGAAAAGCGTCGGTGGCTAACGCCTCGGATCCGAATCCGGGAGCAAAACACAGGAATCTGGTTTGTCACCCCAGACGCAAAACAGATCCACCTGGAACGACCTCGAACAACTGGGAGATAATCCCGAATATCTCCCGGTCGAGCATCCACTCGTGTGGGGCTAGTATACGCCGTGAGAGTGCATCTGCACGGACGTTGTCTACCCCCGGGAGATAAACAGGCAAAACCCGAATGCTGAACTGATCGCACCACAGTAGAAACTGCCACGCCTCCTGAAGGAGCGACGGAGACACTGAGCCGCCTTGCTTGAGAATGGAAGACATGGCCGTTTGATTGTCCATATCTAAACGAACCACACGGCCCTGGACCAACACCCGGAAGCACTCGAACACCCTGCGGACTGCTCTCAGTTCTAACACATTGAGCAGAGGCCGGAGGCTGAGTGCTCGCTCAGGACTAATCAGGGATTAGCATAAGTTTGGTGAACACCCTTGGCGCCGTGGAGATGCCGAAGGGGAGCACGCGAAACTGGTAGCACGTCCCGTCGAAGGAGAACCGGAGGTACTTCTTGAACTCGGGGTGCATTGGAACATGGAGGTATGCGTCTTTGAGATCGATTGACGTAAGCCAATCCCCTGTCTCGACGGAGGAGATCACTGACCTGAGTGTCTCCATCCTGAAAGACGGCACCTCCAGTAACTGGTTCAACCCTCTGAGATTCAGAATGGGTCTGAACCTCCGCCCTTTTGGTCACTAGGAAGTAGGTGGAATAAAACCCTCTCCTTGTTGACCCACAGGAACCACTCGATGGCTGCCTTGTTCAGTAAGGACTGAACCGGCGCATCGAGCTGCCGCCCGCCTTGTTGCGGGAGATCGGCACAGGCGTGCCGAACCCGGAGAAGGGACGGAGGATCTCGCCTCCACTGTGGCAAATGGCCATCCCTGAGCGTGGACAGGACCCAGGGATTTGAGGTGGCTGCCTCCCACTCCCGGAGGAATAGGGACAGCCGCCGCCCGACAGGACGCGTGTGGCAGGAGGCAGTGCACCCCCACAGTCGGCAAGTCTCTGCTTGCGTGAGTGGGGGGCAACAAGGGCTCTGGGGAAGGAATCAGCGGGAAGCCGGGGCTGGCTTCCCCTTGCCCCGAAAAGGCTGCTGCGCTTGATCAGGCTTGCCCTTGCCTCTCGCGCGCCTGCTCCGCTTGGACTGCAAAGGGGCAGTCCACTTAGCAACATCCTTCGCCGGGGCAGAAGGATAAGCGGATGCAAGCGGGGAAGGCCGCTGGCGAGGAGCTGAGGGCTGCTCAAACAAAGGCTTTGAAGGTAGAGACAGCCTCCGCGGCCTCCCGTACTACCTGCAATGCCCCAGGGAACAGGGAGGATCCCATGGTATAGGGCAATGACAGGAGCGCTTGTTGTGTGGCCGGCGAATACCGCGCCACAGACAACCACAGGCGGCGCAAGCCCATGACGGCACCCATCATCTGGCTGGCACAGCACCGAATGCTATCCCTAGCCAGATGCGAGTGTACGTCTGTGAGCTGGCGCGCGAGCACCGACTCCGATGAGTCGGCGCCACAAGCGCTGTGAGCCACCAGCTGTCCCTGCAGTGCAGACAGGTAGGCCGAGTGGACTGCTACTTTGAGGTGCTGGGCGGCGCGACCGTAACATTCTCGAATGACCGGCACGCAGACTTCAGCGGCAGTGAATTAGCAGGAAAGGGGGGGCGCTGCCCTGCCTGGCGAGGCCAGGGAAGACAAGGGCGACCCCCTAACGCGTGACTGAGGCAAAGACGACTCGCCCACCACTGGTGGTTCGAATAGCGTCTCCTCCCCAACTGGTACCTCCTGCCAACGTCGGGCAGATCAAATCTCGGCGAGAACCAGTCAAGAGAGGATTTACCACCTCACCTACCAGTGATGGTAGGATGCGTGGCAGCGCCCTCGGCGACCTTGGTAGGCGCAAAAGCCTCCCCGGGGCCGAAACTCCCGGGTCGGAAGCCTGTGTGGGAACTGCCACCTAGGGCAGGGTTTCGGCAATTTTTCCCCCCACCTGCCTCAGAGATGAGCCAAAGGAGTACGGCACTCCCGCCTCCGACTCCTCCCTCCCTCCATCGTCCTCCATGTCCACCTCGGCATAATCCTCGGCAGCCATACTCTCATACTCCTGAGAGACCGCCGAGGATACACCAGAGGCTGAACCCGAAAAGACCATAAAGGTCAAGAGGCACCAGAAGCAACGAAGTCGCCCAGCGGGCAGAACTCGCCCAAGTCGCCGAGAGCCGAGAGAACCTGCCGTGACAGGCCTCCCGGCAACCCAGACTGGCTGCCAGGCGCCGAGGTGTCCCGAGCTGGGCAGTGCAGGCGACTGCCAGTCAGGGCACCAGGCGAAGCCAGGGGCAACCCTGCATCGCCCGGCGCCAGCCACCTGTGTGACGGACCTGCGCCCGGCGAGGTCGCCCTTGGGGTGCCGGTGGCGCTATCTCCAAGGCCTAAGCCAGGATCAAGCTGCCCAGGGGGAGGCGCGTTCCCCGAGGCTAAGCTCGGGCCGCAGCCAACCCCACCAGATGCGTCAGATCCACCCCCCACGACCGGCGCGGTGAGCTCCTTACGGAAGCCATCCAACGCCGTATCAATGAGAGATTTCACTGACGCCATCTGTTCCTGGAATAAAGCGGTTAGTGATTCAACGGGCACAACAGGTGCCAACACAACAGGGGGGGGGAAAGAGACAGGAGCAAGTTGAGGTTTGGTATTAGATGCCTCCTTGGAACCTTTAGCTCTTTTGGGAGCCGGCTCCGTATGAGAAGCGGCTCCCATAGACCCCTTTTTTTTGTGTGTGTGAACGTTTGGACGGGGGATCCTGCCCAGATATCACCCCCCGCCCGAATCAGATTGCTGTAGAACAGCTGATCCGCTCGTCGTGCTCTAATCGTTTGAGGCGTAAAAGTGGCACATGCCACACACCCCTCTTCCTCATGGTCTGTTTGGGTGAGGCAACGTAAGCAGACCTCGTGTGTGTCCTTGACGGGAATGGCCGCAAGGCACGAAGTACAGGATTTAAACTGCAACAAGTAAACAACCTGTGCAGCAATCAACCCCATACACACAGACATATATGAAAAAACACGCATGGGCGACACAACTAATGCGACAACGTAGCATACAGTTGACAATAACCATAATACGCACTGACATAACTACGACTTTTTATTATCGTAAGATAGAAAATGCAAGCAATGGAAACGCCCTACATGTAACCACATATACGTAAAATTACTAACCCCACCTGTAACATTGAAAACCACACGGGAAATCAATGAACAGTGATGCTAGCGAAGGTACCTGGCCGCCATCTTGCACGCACCGGCAAGCCGACCCGCGACAGGTACCAAGTTACAACTAAAATTATGAATGAAAAAGTTCAGAACAAGCCTTCAAATCGCTTCCATGCAGGGAAAAAGAGAACCATACATACAGTTGCTGTTTCTGACCCACTCATAATTCTCGCCGGGAAAAGAAAACTTTCTTGTAATGGACCCACGTCTATGTCGGGAAACGACAGCATGGAAAGTGAGGTACGAGGTTACGGTCTAGAGTTACCTGCTCTTGGCTGTAGGGGGCCAGAGGGCCCTGTAAGGGTGGTCTCACAAGACAAAACGTAGTTTTTGTTTTGTAAATATTTTATTCAAATATTGTTACAACTGTCGTAGGGATTTTAAATGGACATTTAAATGCTTATAAGTACCCCAAGGAGGAATATATAAAAAAGAATCCCCATGTACAGGATCTACTGAGGACGTGAAAGCCTGGCTGTATCTTTAATACACATTTGTTGCTTATGTTGAACCTGACGATGAATTCACAGGTCGAATCAATGAAATATCCCGTCAAGGTAAACTTATGCGATACAGTGTATGTCTTATCAAATGAGATTGCTTAAAAAGGGTCATTTAGGATTTGTCCACAAGATATTTCTCCAACTGCTCTTTGAAGTTTTTGGGGCAAGCACTATTATAACAACTGTTTGCCACTAATGTGGCAATGTCACCTGCCGCTAAGGAAGAACAAAATAATTATGAAATATTTACTACGTTTTATTTTTTGGTCACATACAAGATGCCTGAAATGACTAGTGTCTGAAAAATCACCCAATGTAGGCTGTCGACATAATTTGAGACACTGGGTGCAATGTTTTATGAGACATTGCGTTTACATAAGTTTGAAAAGTGGTCAAAGTGTCGTGGTGACCTTGAAGATAAGATCAAGGTCACCCAAATAAATGGTGTCTGCGTAATCTCCCAATGTAGGCTGTCACCAAATTGGAAGACATTGGGTACAACAGTTCATGAGATATCACTTTAACAAGAATCTGGACGGACAGATGCTGCTGGATACATAGCCCCCCCCGTTCCATGTTGCAGCGGGGACAATAACCCAATATTTCGCATCCTGTGATGTGCTTTGTCAGTTGAAGGGAATCACTATCTGTTGGTGTACTAGCAAGGCAGTTTCTTTTCAATGTCTTGATACAGTTCTGTTCACTTTTAAACAGTTATTCACAGAAAATGGGAGGAGATTCTCAATTGCAAAATTACGACACGTGTAAATGCAGTGTTTAGTCAACCATCAAACTTTTCAGCCCATCTAAAAGTTGCTTTTATCATGCTAATAATTTCAACAAGGTTCCAAACATCAACAAGGTCATCAAATGAATTCATTATTTTTTCATGTAAGTTTGAGAATGACATTAGAAAATAAAAATTATCTCACCCTGACTTCTTTGAAATAAAATATTCGAAAACTACTGGAGCTACAGTAGCTACTATAATCACTTTGATCCAAATACCATTGAAAAGTACTCAGATGGAATTCTACCCAAAAGTTGAATGCCCTACATGTTGTCATTGTGACAATCATGAACCTTTATTCACAGCAAATATTACATACTAATGTTTGACTGGTGCCTGAGGGTGTGACGGCAGCACGTACCTGATGGCTGGGGTGGACATGTTGTCTGGGAGGGAGATGGAGTCTAGGAGCAGCAGCTGAGACTTGGGGGTCACCATACACAGGGAGATCACGTCTAGGGCACTCTTGATTGTTTCAGGTCTGTAAAATATTGCATCTCTGAGTAACCTGTTGTTCAGCTTCCTGATAAAACAATCAGCTGCTTAACACTGAACTCTGAATACTCAGGCTATATCATGGTGGACTGTGAATGATTAAGTCCCAAAACTAGACAATCCAGAGAATAATAATATCACAAACAATCTACACCATCGGAGGACACACTTTTATCAAAATAACGTCACCACCCTATCAAAAAGTGGCATGAATTTGCATTACCACAGGTGGTAAACAGGTAGCAAGAAAAAATTGGGGAAGAGAGGTAAACATTGCTTTGTAGAGTATTTTATTCATATCAGTGTGTCAGGTCATTGTGTGTGGAAGACAATCTGAGTACGACACAGACAACCAAGAAACAGGCCAGATCTTGTATTAGTATCCATGATCATTCGGGTAGAAGCCAGGGTTGCACAGAGCAGAACAAACTGCAGCTATCTACAAAATGGCCAGCAATATTCCCTGAAGGCTGATTACTAGGAACGTACATGTATGTTGCAGAACAAATCAAGTATGAAATACACACTGCTCCAAATATATCATAATGCCGACAATTCTACAACAGCAGGATTGATAACGTCTTGCACACGATTTCTAAATCATGTTCTGTCCACAACACTTTTCCATCTATAACATGGACTTGCTCACGTTTTGAAAAGCAGCAATTCTGAACACAAGTGTATTATCATTGTCAGCAGACATGTTCATCCTATCCGAGGAATTCCTCCATGTTGAAACATGCTTACAGTGAACAACAGTCTTGTGGTGTTTAACAGTAAAATTACAGATCCCATAATATTTGACACATATCTATCATAGTTTACCCTGACTTGAAATCATGTGAACTTTCAACTTTGGCATAGCACTGGTCACCTTATGTAATTCAGTAACAGACAACACATGTCAAAAAAGTTTCACATTTTCATATATTGTACTATGAGTTGTATTCTCTAGGATGTGTACTTGACAAGACCAAAATCTTTATCTTACTTTCCAGGAGAGTTGTTCCAATCAGGTGCCATGGCAACCAGTTGTATAAGGAGCTGTATACCCCCCAGTCTGTGGAATGTGGCTTCAGGCACCCAGTGTGTGCGCAGGGGAAGCAACTCCATCAACAACTCCATGTTGTCTTGGATAACTTCCGGGGTCAACTTAAGTGGCTGAAATATTGGTAAAAAAGATACATAAACACATGATAATCTAACAATAATTGACTTCACACTTATATGTATATGTTTTAACTGTATGGAGTATTATGGTGACCCCAAACACCCTTTGTAGGTTGAACAAAACTTTATCAGAAATGCCCGGGGCCCCATTCCAGAAAGCAATCATTGTGCTAAGATGATCGTAACTCCCCCACATTAACATAGACTTACGACAGTCATAGTGCTACAGTCACTTTGTGAAATGGGTCCCCGCTCCAAACGCAATACTACTCGACATTTTAGCTCTTTCTGTCAACTGGTTATTACTCCAGTAGGACTTATTGATGGTATGGGAATCACCCCACCTTTCCAACTTAATTGTGTTATATGCAGTGAGTACTTGGAAAGCATGGCGCCATTTTACCCACTCTCTCGATTCAGGGACTTCTCTGTAAAGTGTCACCTGTCACCAGCAAATGTTTCATGAGCTGGTGTTCAGGATTCATGATTTATTGACTAGTAATTCAAAAGTTCATGTAGTTAATGCTTGGGAACATTCCATACACAAAAATGTAATTTTTAAAGTCAAAATGTAATTTTTAAAGTAAAATTGATATTTTATACTTATCCTGACTCATGATATTTTGCTTAGCTCCCTTTCCCTTTCGAATGGTAGTGGAACACTTGAATCCCTTGAAGTTCCCGAAGCGGACGTATAAATACACTCACCCACGAGTTACCTCCCTTTGCCCTTTCCCGTGCAAACCAGTCATGTGACGTGCCTTACTTGTCACTTTCTCCTGATATTCCGCCCATGCACTTGGATCTGCTGTGCAATCTCAAGTGTCTTCAACGGGGAGGTTGGGCTTCTCGTCATGAGTCAGGATAAGTATAAAATGTCAATTTTACTTAAAAAATTACATATTTTTCCTTATCCTGACTCATAATCTTTTGTTTATAGAATCCGACAGATTGGTTGTGGTCAAGCCACTGGATTCAACAGCTGTCCTTAGATACGTCCTGTATCCCCCCCATGGGAACTGCGAAACGGCATTTCCGTGGTCCTATTCTTCCAACTTCCGTTGTAACTCGGGGGACCACCATCTTATCTTACTTCTTTCCCAGACAAGTTGAATCTTGTAGATTCATGTGGTTTAAGATATACTAGCATCTTCTTTTTACTAGTCATCTATAACAACCCATAGATTATGATAAGATCTTTATCATACATGAGTTGCGACCCCTTTACGTACAGGTAAGATCTTTAATCACTCATGCTAGGCTGGTCTAGACTGTGCGCATGGACTTTCAAACTAGAACTTTTTCCATAGTAAAAGTTATCAACAAGTCAACGTGATAAAGGGTGAGATTTCAAATCAGCGCCTTTGAGGAACTGTTAGTTGTTGTGCTACAACAAGATTCCCAAACTGGTGAATGCCGGAGACGTCTTCGGTGGCTATATCTCGGAGGTAGTGGTTGGCAAACACCGTATCTGACTTCCAGAAGCAGCCCTCCATATCGATGATATAGAGCAATTTCCATGCATAGTCAGTGTTGACGCCATTGCTCTGACTTCTTGTGGGTTGGAGGCTCTTGGAGGCTCTAATCCTGCTGCTTTGTAGGCTCTTGGTATAACGGCTCTAATCCAAAACAATATTGTCGTTCTTGAGACTTCCGCTGCTGTCTCTGTCGACAAGGTGATGAATAGGCGCTTGAATTTTCTTCTCCTTGTTTTAGTCTTTTGAAGATATATCTTCAAGGCTCTGACAGGACACAAGGATAAGTCCTGGGTGTCCTCTGGTTCGAGGATCGTAGATAGTGCTGGTTCATGGAACTGTCTATCTGGTTGACCTGGCACTTTCGTCAATTTTATGACTGACTTCATAGTGATGACTGTACTAATGGCTGCCAGATATGTAGATAATGTCGAACCTTTCAGATGTCTTGTATATCTAAGGTGACACAGATATTCCGCCACTTGAGGATGAGACGCTTTCATAGCTGTGAAGCCTTTCCGCCTTGCATATTGCTAAAATTTCTGCCATTTGTCGTCATACAAATTGCGAGTAGATCTGTGTAACGCTAAGGTTACTGCTTTCGCTGCTCTGGTGGAGTATCCTCTTTTCTTCAGACAGGTTTTGATACGGTCCACACGTGTAGCTGGAACAATGTTGGGTTCCTGTGGACTTGCTTGGTGTGCGGATGTCTGAGTAGGTTCGGCTATTCTGGTAGTTTGAGGGTTGGACTTCCGATATCTTCTATTAGGTCTAGGAACAAGACTCTCGCTGGCCAACAGGGTGCAACCAAAGTCAGTTGTAGCGCTTGTGTCTGTTTGATCTTCAACAGTACTTTCGGTAGTAAGATCGGAGGTGGAAACGCGTAAGTGTTTAGTCCTTCCCATGCATATGGTCAGTGCATCTGTTGCCCAGGCTTGGGGGTCCGGTACTGGTGATACACACGTCTGTAGTTGCTTGTTGAACCTCGTGGCGAACAGGTCTATGCATGGGGATCCTATTTCCCTTATGATGAGCCGGAACGCTTCTGGATGGAGCATCCATTCCGTGGGTGATAGGTGCAGTGGTCAGGAAAGAGCGTCTGCTAGTACGTTCTTGGCTCCCGGTATGTGACATGCCTTTATCCAGATGTTTGCCTTCTCTGTGATGTCGAACAACTGGAATGTGAGCTTCAATAGGCTTGGTGATCTTGTTGATCCTTGCCGATTTATGGAGAATGCCACTGTAGAGTTGTCCGTGTGGATCATCAGCATTCTGTTGCTCAGCGAACTCAACCATAGTTGTACGGAGTTGATCACAGCTTTCATTTCTAGCAGATTGATGTGAAGATGCTGTTCTGCATTTAACCACTTCCCTGATGCAACTTGGTTGTTGAGATGATCCCTGTAGCGATGCATCTGCGTAGAGATGTGTGTTGAAGACCAGCTCTTGTAAATAGGTTCCTGCGCAGACATTCGACCTGTGAGTCCACCAAAGTAGGTACACTTTGAGATGATCTGGTAGCGAGATAGGGTTGCTGCTGTCCAGATGTTTTGCCAGGAATCGTTGCAATGGATGTAGTTGTAACCTTCCTGTGCAAGTCAAGTCTTGTGCTGAGGTTAGTAGACCGAGTAGACATTGCCATGTTCGAAGTGTTAACGGAGAGATGACTGCTTGAGGAATCATGGCCTGTATCTTGACCCAACGATCTTCTGGGGTCACAATTCGATTCTGTGTTGTGATGAATCTTATCCCCAGGAACTGCAGATCTTGTTTTGGTTCCAACTCCGACTTCATCAGGTTCACTAGCCTTCCTAGTTGCATGGGCAACTTGGTTGTGAAGTTCAGCTGCTGTCTGATTTGATTGGCACTTTGATGGACCTGTATGCCGTCGTCCAGATGCATTGCATAGACCTCAATGATGTAGGTAGGCGACTATGGGCTTGGTTATTCGTGTGAATAACCACGGAGCCGACGATACTCCAAACGGTAGGACGTTCCATTGGAAGTACTGACCTCTGAATAGAAATCGTAGATATTTCCTTGATTCCGGTTGTATGGGGATGTGCAGATATGCATCCTGTAGGTCTATGCTGGCCATAAAGTCTGCTGGATGAATTAGTAGTCTGAGTTGAGGTAGGTGGATTATTCTGAACCTTTCCGGTTTGAGTAGATAGTCTTGGTTGAATTTCCGCATGTTGTAAATCAACCTTTGGAATTCTTCTTGGGTACTAGGAAAATTGGGGAGTAAAAGCCTGGCGTGAGATGATCTTGATCTATTCTTTCTACTGCATGCTTGGTTAGAAGTCAGTGGAAGGCTTCTTGTAGTTTGTCTGCTTGCTCGTCTGCATAGTTGAAGACCATCGGTCTGGAGTTAACGGTGGTGTGGCCTTGAGCTGCACTCTGTACCCTTCTTGCAGTACTTGTGTACGTAGTTGTCCTCCAGTATTCCCCAATTTTCCCAGTACCTTTGTAGATGTTCACCCACTGTCGATGGTTGTACAGGACTGGCTGGGAGTGGAAGCATCCCGTCGTTCCGAACCTCACTTTCAGCGTCTAGCCCCTGTGAAACCTCTGGGAGTACGTCCTCTCCCTGAGTTTCCTTCCTGACTTTTCCCGCCTCTGAAGTTGGAGTACTTCTTCTCCTTAGCCTTCTGGATACCGGAAAATTTCGATTTGCTGTTGTACTTCTGTGAAGTATGACGAATGACGTTGGCTAGAGTATCTATAGACTTGATCATCATGACTTCCCTTGAGTTGTGAGTAGCTTCCTTAGCTGCTTCATCTATCTCACCTCCGAAGATGGTAGGGCCTGCCCAAGGAGCTCTAAGTAGCGGTTGGGTAAATCTTTCACTCCAGGAACACGATGCCAGTAGACTCTGTCTCCGTAATAAGGTGAGACACGCCGACGTTGACTGACTGACTGACTGCGTTTGGTTTTACGCCGCTTTTAGCAATATTCCAGCAACATCACGGCGGAGGACACAAGAAAAGGGCTTCACACATTGTGCCCATGTGGGGATTCGAACCCGGGTCTTCGGCGTGACGAGCCAACGCTTTAACCATTAGGCTACCCCACCGCCCCACGCTGACGTTGAGGCCAGATGATCCGATATGAAGTATTGGTCCTTTTTCTGAGTGAGCAGAGCAGATAATATCATTCTATCTTCTTCCGAACTGGGGTTCTGGAACTTGTTAATCAATGCCTCATTGATTGCTCTGGACCTCGCTAATCCGAAGAAGGAATTCCTCATCGCTGTATCAAGTTGAGCCAACGTTTTATCCTCCACCTTGTAGACCTTGTTCCGAGAGTCGTTGACCAGTTTTATATTTTCATTTAAGTCTGGCGCTTTCATGAAGGGGTCCATGTGATGTAAGGGGAATTTCCTCTCCTTAAATGCTGGCAGATGTTGATTCTGGAATCTAGAAACTTTGTCAAACGATGTGCGTAGATTCGAAGGCACCTTGGATATAGGCTCAATAGGTGGAATGGTGATTGAGTCGAAGTTGTCCTTGCAC